AATTTCTTGGTTCGCTCACGACGCGAAGCTGTTGGGAAGACATATTCTGGAGAACCAGAAGACCGAATTCAATGTCGCTGTTACGTTCCGTTATCGCTTTTCAGAATCTCGTGCTGAGATGCTTCAGCGTACTTCACCTGTGTATTGCGCTCATCCATGACAACCCCATGTCGTGTCTCTACTTCCTAGCGAAGCATCCGAACGCTGAGCAGCCGAAACGTCCCGTCGATGATTGGTGTTAGGGTTGCTCTCGACACGATTGGGGTTGACTTACTCAACCTCGAAACATTCGCGAAGAGTTTCATCTTCGTTCAGTTTCATTCTCCTCCGTCACTTCATGTGGAGGCTTGACTTCAAATCGCCGAATGTGGACTTGGCCCGTCAATGGGCGAAGGACCGAGTTATCAGGGCACATCGTACCATCATGACTCGTCATTGGTTGCGTCAGAGGGAATCTCCCGCTCGTCGAAACACCCGCGCTCCACCTTCTGTACCACAAGAAACACTTCATGGGAACCCGATGAGTATTTACGTTCCAACGTCTTTCGATACACGGACATCGGATCTGTTGGAATTATCCGTGAGAGGCGCCTGCTCTGACTTTCATAAGCTCGCAAGAATGTTGAAAGATATCCTGTTGACCAGCACTCTGGATGGGTGTGCGTCATGCGCGACTCCAAAGCTCGTGTTGTAGGATCGATCCCTCAGAGGGGGCCCGTTTCCAATCTAGACTGCATCGGTATGGAGGAATGCCCTGCTCCGGAGGATATTGTGACTGTGACCCGCCAAACACCAACAAACATTCGGTGACGTATGGAGAATTCGCCGCCCCTAGATCACGTTTGAACCGCCGTCCCGATATAGTCCATGTGGGAAGTCTATAGCCTAGTGAGCCTACCGGGTAAGTCCACAAGGGCCTGGATTCGACGATTCAGCTCGAGCTTTGGTTGACTGGGTCGGTAAATACTTTCCGCTTCTTCCGTTTCAGGAAGAATTTATTCTGGTCGTTTTTGGAAGTATCCCGTTATACCGGTTCGCTCGCATGAATGAGTCGTCTTCTCGGGGATCTCAGCCAATATTTATGTGACTTCTCTCCGGGCACAAGTATTCCGAAGTCCTGAAGGTTGCTGCTAGGGAACTTCATTCGCCTTTCACGGCTTCGCGATCGAGGACCCGAGCCAGAATTATTCGAATTGACTCTTGCGGCAGGCGGGACTCCCAAAAAAACCCTCTCCTGGACTGATTGGGAGTAAAAGTACACGATCCGATTCATTCGTATACTCGGTATGCTGCTCGATGGAATATCGGGAGAAAAGCTCCTCTATGACCCAGCACGAAACTTCTCTTCTGGCTGCCTGTCTGGCCATCATTAGCGGTCTTCATTGATCCATAATTTCGGAACCTACAACTATGAGTGGGACCGTGATAACAGAGGTCCTCTCAGGGGTGATCCGCGAGTCCATCGGATCCAAAAGGAATGAAGATGTGCCGTTTCAGTTTTGAGCTATCTGTTTTCCAAGCGTGACTCTGTTATGAAAAAACGGGCATACGCGCCGCTCCATCGTCTTCCCCGTTCCTTCTTCCTTTGCGTTGCCTGTTTTCGGCTCGACTTTGCGGTTTTTCTCCGTGATAACATTCCTCAGACCGACCAATGGATCAGCTCAATTCTGAGGCGGGAGAGTCGATAGAGAGTTCCCTCGGAGGATTCGACCATACTGAGGCGAAATCTCGCTCGACCAAACCCGCGCGCAGGTGAGGAAGCGCAGAGCATCCAGAACCCATTGCTTCCGGAAGGCTGCCAGAATCTTTCGTCAATTTCTGGGTATGCAAGAAGGAGTTCCCAGCGATCAGTTCAGTTGATGTTTGAAGGAGCAGGAGGCTCGACGCAAGGAAGGAGGCTTCCAGGATCCGAAGGCGGCATTCTCCAGAACGTTATTTTCAAGACCTTCCATCTCCATTTGGTGCCTCACGGGTACCGATTTTCGTCTTAACGAGGAACACGGTCGGGGAGCCGCGCGGTACCGTGGCTGCTCTGCTCGAACACTGAATTTCATGCCGAATAACGGACATTCTGTACACGGAATCCAAATATCAGTGCTCTTGCAATAAGGCTTCAATATCTGAAAACCCATCTAGAGCCCACACCCTCGGGGAGGGGAATCGGACATCATAGATGTTACGGAATTAACGAAACGCGAAACGCTAGTCAACGCAGCATTGGATCGTTGGATCGTTGCGTTTCCGTTCATTATCCGATGCCTCCAGTGTATTCTCAATAGAAGCGGCCCTCGAAAAGCTGACTTATTCCAGCCCGTCGAACACGCTCGTCAGTACCCCGTTCTTCGCACCTCATGCAAATGCGCGATTAGGCATTCGCGATGTAGTCGTGCTTCCATCGCGGCTTGGCGCTGGTTTGGTCTCGATGCCTGTGTGAAATAAAAATCCGTCGGAATCAGCAGAAAAGACAAGACGACTCGGAAACCGTTATCGGTGTCCTTGACGAGACAGCAACACGAGCTCCGGAAAGAAATTACTTCGATACAAGATAGCCAGGGCGAGATCAGATTCTCCGTCTTACAATGGGCATCCTCCTCCTTCCTGCATCCTTCCCACAGGATATAGGATAAGCTGGGATTCACGGCTCTTAAATCATGTATCAATCTACTGGGAGTCATGCCCTCATCGCGAGCGCACCGCTTCGAGCTATTCCAGGAATCGTACCACAGAAGCGTCGATAGAGGAAAACCATCGGAATCGCAGACTTGGAGCGATAAGGACCCGCGCCATAATATCATACATGCGTCCACATCTGTTTGATTGGAACGATGCGGACTCGAAAAAGCGAGAGAATCTCTTCAAGACTTCGAACCTGAGCTCCACAAATCCTCTGGACACGTGACAAAAACCGTCAGGAGCGAATGACTCAAAACTCAGAGTCGCAGAAGATCGCTTACTCGTCTTTTCCGTGATATTCTTCCGACCCAATCACTGAAGGCGCGGCTCCCCAAACGGCTTTGCTCGTCACCGATACCGAAGCGATCCAAGGTTTCCTCGTCACGGGAACTTTCACGGACGTTTTTCTCTACTGCTCTGTTGGGAGCTGAAGGAAAAAATCACCCGAACGCTCTCGACCATCTGAAAGCCGTATCCACCTTTCGAATTGCCCCGGTACTATTCGTCCGGAAGCTCTCGCTCTCCGCTTGTCGATCAAAGCATCGCCATATTCGGTTCTTGGTCTCTGTGAGGGGATTTCCACGGGCGACCGCAACTCAGACGGTCCAGCATCCCCCGGGCGCAATGAACTGCTTTGTCCTAGAATCACATAATAATATGAAATGGCCAAATCTTCCGTTTCATCCGATGAGACGAAAAATAGGTATCAACTGTCCGAGCGTGTCCATCAATGGAAAGTTTCTAAGGGACACGGGATCGTCTGGGCAGAGAAATCAAATCCACCTCGCGATTCGAAGTGAAAACCAACTCCGCGAGACAAATCGAGTACGGAAGCTCTGCACTACTCTCGACTTAATTGCAGCCGTATACCAGGTCTCGAGACGGCTCGCTAGTGAGGATTGGGAGCTACATATGTCTATGGAGTTCGTTGGCACGAAGACGAAAATCTCACAAATAGAGGAGAGATCTCGAAGTCCTCCTTCGGGACGGCGGATCGCAGTTTCGAGATGCCATTTATTGGAGATTGAGAAATGGATACATCGAACGTTCAAAGATGCACTCCGACAATTTTCTTCAGCTCATCTATGTCGATATCGGCAGCTGATTCTCCGTGGCACCGAGCGCAGCTCTTGCGCTTCCTGCCGGGATGAGTATTTTTTCTCGTGGATTTCCGTCCCAGCTTCAGATATATGATCCAGCAGATCAGTCCCAATACCGCGAAAAAGCATCCGCTGACTCCGATGATGGTCACACCTCTCATGAAGGCAGGGGAAGTTGTGTCAAAAGGCTGTGAACATTCAAACACTGAGACTGATCCCCTCCGAAATCATTGAGCAATAGCGCTCGCGGTGAAGCACAAAAGAACTCCCAAAACGCACCCATCGTCTGTGGATCGTCATACTAACAAACGTTCAACTTGCCTCCGTGGATGAAACTTATAATGAAAAGAATATCCCCATCCGTCTGCATGGACATCCTTTCCCTCAAAGATTTGTCTCATCCAGGCCGGAGACACGCAAATATCCAATAGGGAATAGAGCACCGTCTCAGCGAGTGTTGAAGGCCTCGAGATATCTGCTTGATTTTGTCTTGAGAGCGTCCTTCTCTGCCGCATTATTCTATAAGTACAAAAAAGAAGAGAAACAATCGAAATGAGGAATGCGCGCCGTAAGAGAGGGAAGGGTCCACCTCAGTCCGTCAAGATCAGACACCTATGAGCCTGATCAGAGTCTTCCCGAGTCGAAGTCGGCCGGAACCCCGGAATTCCTCCGACGCCCTCAATCTAAGCCGAGCTCGCTTGCGAGAACGATGCATCCTCTATCATATGTAGTACTCTTTGTACCTTCAAGCCCGAGAGTTAGCGTGGACAGTAGAACCCCCTCCGACAACGGCGACGCTCCGAGAACTCACAGAGTCAACGGAGAGCTTCTCGATGGCCGAATCTTGCTTTTTGTCAGAGGTTCGAATATGAGCTTCGCGGGGGAGAGCGGCATTCATGAGATCTTGAGGAGGCTGGGGGAGGATGAAAGAATCTGACGCCACGGTGCTCTGTCGATTCGCAACTCGAACCATGACCGAGGCAGAGCGGATGATTTTCTTGATGACGTCTACGCTGTGTGGGAACCGGGACAGCTACCGTTGAAAATCGTTGTCGCGGACCTCGCCCTCGACGGAGACGTTGAAACCAGACCAGTCTGATCTGTCACAGAGATTCCGTTCGGAATCAGTCATGTCAAGGGCAGAGGCAAGGCGTCTTCCCGCCACCGGTTTCGAAACGAGTGGCTCTGTTTTCAAAACAGTCTCTCGCCAAACAGCTGATTATTATCATCGCGCTTAGAGAGCGGAGAATCTATCAACGATCAGAGGTGATTTTTGGTTTCGAGCTTTGGTGTTTGGAACTCACGGATAAGGGTCGGTATGGTCCCCGATAGTCCTCATCGGATCACATCGGCGCAACCAAATTTGCTAGCGCTTGATCGTGATTCTTCCTGAGGATGAAATACCAAGGATAGGCAAGACAAGGACGAATCCTGTCCGTAGATAATTTGAATCCTCCGATTCTGAATGTCCGTCTCCCGAATCCGATTCGTGACCTGAATGGATTGTGTGAGGAAGGGATGTCCTGGCCTTTCACTAATCGGTCTTTGTGACAAATATCTGAATGACAGACTTTTGCAGATGGCCGGTACCGTGGCCGTGGTCTTCGGTGGCTCCCGAGGAATCGGAAAGGCATGTGTTCAGGAGTTATTGCGAAAAGGTTGGCCCACAGTCGCCATCGGCCGAAACCCCGAAAATCTCAGATCGCTGGGAGCTGAGTTGGTGAGAGGGGGAAGCTATCGAGGGTGTTTTTCTTGGATAAGTGCAGCAGAATTTATCTCGTTGACTGGCCCACGTCTCAATCATTAAACGAAATTCACAGAACTCTCCAAACCTACATTGCTACGAATGCGACGTGAGCAACGAGGCCAAAGTCGTCGAGACTATTAAACACCTAGAAACGTCCGTCGGTCCCATACAGGTTCTCGTGAACAGTGCCGGTAAGAATTCCGGGCTCCGGCTCGGCGATTCAGGAGGGAAAATGCTCCTCGAACGAAGTAAAGGGGTCCTCAGCTCACTCAGCCGAGCACCGTGCCATGCTGACTCCTCCTTCCGTACCCAGGTATCGCCTTGAATAAACTGCTGGTTCAAACATCCACCGAAGAAATCCAATCGGTTATCAACACCAATCTGCTCGGGACAATGTTCGCCTCGAAAGCCACAGTTCGCTACATGATAAAACGGAACTCCGGATCTATCATCAACATCGGTAGGTTCGATGTTGTGAATCTCGGCCGAAGCCGCCTCTTCTGAGCGAAATTCACTCGGTCGTTTCATCCATCCCCTATCCCCTTACCGATTCCAGCAAGCGTTATCGGACTCCACGGGAATTTCGGTCAGACGGCCTATTGCGCTGCGAAAGCAGGTGTTGTCGGATTCACTAAATCTTTGGCGAGAGAGGTGGCGGCGAGGAATATCCGAGTCAACATGGTTTCGCCGGGTACGTATGTCAACTTACCGCCGAAGTTCCCATTAACCCGGGTATCCTACGGGGGAAAACTAGACATTTTCCGGGTGGACGTCGAAGCCGAAGATGGACGACAGACCGTCCGCCAGATATCCACGGATCAAGAGTTTGAGTTTACCCTCAATTCTCGAGAATCTCCCTGAAGAGCCCTCTTTTAGGAAAATTCTGAGCAATACCCATTGGCTCTCCGAGCTCTTCCGCAGTCCTCGGAGGGGGGAACTTACTTGATCAATGACACCTCGTGGAATCTGAAGAGAGACAGGTTGGGAAAAACACAGCAGAGCGGTCGCGCTCCGATTCGTTCGCGTCGGGAACGTCACGCGGCCAGAGCTACTACCCGTTCTCCGAACATACGCCCGGCCTTGTGGACCGGAGATCGAGACCGAGACGCGCTCAGGAGTCGGATATCGACTCCCGGACGAGTCGGCTGCCGTCGTCCTGGTATTAAATTTTTCATACGTACCGTATTTTCTCTAACGGGAGGGCATGCTCTTTGTACCAGGCATGCTCTTATTAAGTCGCTCTCCTAATTGATGGCCACCCCTTTAGAGCACCTGAACGATGAACGGGCAGGCCCCCTTATTAGAGGAAATACGGTAACTTGTGCAATAATTCATGCGAACAGTCTGAACATACGTCCTGCTGAACCGGACAGAAGTTTGGAGATCGGGACGAATCGGAAAACAGAACCAAAAATTCGAGAACCGAGAAAAAACCGACACGTTCATGTCCGGGTAAACGGGAGTTCCGCTGAACAGCACAAGCTTAGCCCAGAGAGGCTGACGCAGAGGAACTTCCCTTCTTGGAGGAAGGAGAGAAGTGATCGGTCTTACCTGTTTTGAATCCCCCTGACACTTGAAGGTATCATCGCGACGGACATGACGGCTCATCTCAAGACGGCAGCCATCGAACAGAAAACCCCCCTGGGCAGACTCGGTCAGCCACAGGACATCGCCCCGCTCGTCGCTTTCCTAGCCGAGAAAGGGACCTATATCACCGGACAAGACATCATGGTCGACGGCGGACTTGGCTTGAAATTCTAGGTGCTTAGGGAATAAAATTGAGAAAGTAGTGTTTTTTCGATCTCATCGCAGCTCGTCTATCTAGCTCGGTTTTTCGTCGAAATGACTCTGATTCTGCTGGAAGCTAAGACGTCTGATTATGTGACGGAAGATACGGGAATCATCAGCACGACTGAAAGTTAGCCTTTATTCTCTCGCTCGGATGTGCCCGCGAGGAACTAATCGAGGGCGAATCTCACTTGACTTGATTCTCCTCCTGATCAAGAAATCCTCAAAACTAGAAATTGAGTTCACAAAAAAACCTTAAATGGCCGTTGTGAACGCACAGCATCCGTTGTCGGCCGGGGCGGTGGCCGATTCAATTCACAAACAGCATCAACAGACACGCGTCGGCAACTGGATCATGAATGATTGCATACATTCGCATATATGTCAAACCTGACTCCTACTTCCGTGTTCGACCCGCGGCTCGCGCGAGATGAGCACATTATGATTAAGGTACCACTTTGCTCCCGCCTGGGAGGTCCTGATCTGCCGGCTACGTTTCTTCCTTTATCCCGTCACGACACGGAAGCACGTCCCGTAAACAATAATAGAGGTGTTGCGTCGTTCCGCTCCTGATAAGTAGCCTCCGCAGGTACATGCTATCCCCTTCACAACCTCGGGAGCCCGCGAGGTGGCGACGTCCAGCGTCACTCACGGAGTCCGACTTGAATGAGCAACTGGTCATCAACGAGCAGGTCTCCCTTGATCAGCTGATCTTCGGTCACAGCGAAGGCGAAACTAACCAAGCCCGAAGGTTGCAGCTCATTCTGCGGGAACCAGTAGCGGGGGATGCAAGCTTCGGTAGACGAGAAGGTCTTCACTATCGGTTTCTTTGAAGTCGGCGAAAGGATTTGAAATCTGGAAGGAGGACAGGAAAGCCATGAGATGAGATGTACTCCGCCAGCGGCTGATTCCGGACGGTCTGCGGCCGATAAAGCCTAATCGCCTAGAAGCGCGTGGCTCTGTGGTTATTGGAGATGTCACAGATTCCAAAACATCCAGTTTCCTAGAACATGAGACCCGCGGCACGTCTGGGATGCTTGCGGTCCCGACGTTCGGAGACGGCGCGCCGGCGCTCTCTGGCTATTCGAGATACTTCGCCCTAAAATTCATCTCACTCACCGGAAATCGAATTTCCTCTGGTATTTTGTCGCGTAGAGAACTTCCAGAGCGAACTGGTACACGTCTTCGTTCGGTAGAATAACAACAAGGAGCCTGAGTACGCAGCGTACTGTGCCATCTTTTTCGATGCCGAAGGGTCTGGAGTACAGCCTGCGGAAACAGAGTGAATCGAAGACGGGATCGAGCAAGAAGACTCACTCAGTCAGGATTATGCCCAATGATCCGGGATCCGGAAAGGATATATTCACGTCAAACGAATGACTGCACGGAGGAAAAAGTCGAAAATACCTCCGACACGTGTTTCCACGCGCCAATCGCTTGAATTGGCTGAAGTTCTTCAACTCCCATTGCAGAGGCGAGGATTTCGATGGATGTAACAGGTGGATATTCCCGAGTGGCGTCCGCGTCTCTAGCGCCGTTTGGCCGATTTCGGTTTCCTCCTGCAACTGTCGATATTCGGACCATTCCTGAAGGCGGTCCGCTACATTGTCGAAGTTAGAGCGCAGAGCAGAGACATCGGAGCGAGTCTGATCGAGTTGTTCGTTTGTGGCGTGTCTCGAAAGCTCGCCCGAAATCCTATCCTCGATTCTCTGCTGAAATTCCTGCTCACGGGTCGCTGTGAGCGCTGAGACCTGGAAGCGTTTAAGATAAACATTGTGCCCATTGTTGCGGATCCTAGAATTGAAATTTCTAGTCGCGAGTGTTCCGTGTGCAGCGATTACCGCCTAAATAAGTCAAGACAAAATATTGTTCCAGAGTCCGTCGTAGACGATAAGGATCGTGATCCATGGACCGATATAGCCGGGGAAAGCCGCAAGAGCTAAGGTCTTTCATTCTGGGCCAAGCATTTCCCCAGCGCCGGCCATCTTGCGGTATCGGGGTTCTACAACGATTGCAATGAATACCTATTCTGTCTTAAAACATGGAAAGTTTCACCGTACAGACTCACCTCTTCAAGTGTAACGAATCGCTCTGCGGCTTCCCGCGTCGCCTTGATGTTCATCTCCGCATCATGTAACCTCGCCTGCAACGCTGTAGTTTTACGATCTACAACCGTCTCTACGCGATGTGCTAGATCAGCTCTCAGTCTGTCAACCTGTAACGATATGAAGTCCTACGATGACAAATCGCTCGCGCCGCATCGCATCGTTGCACGCCATCGGTCCGCAGCAGCAATGTACTCACACTGTGCTCTTATTGGCGCCGCGTAAGACTTGCGTCATTTTCGAGAGAAAATCGCTCTCGAATTAAGCCAGCCCTGCGTTCGCGGATTCGTCCACGTCTCTCGCGAAAATGCATGACTTCGAGCGACTCACCTGCGTGCGTAGATTCGTGTTCTCTCTACGGAGTTCGTTCACGGTTACTTCCAGGCACTGATGTTTCTTTTGGAGCACTTGACAGAAATCCAGAACTTTCATTAGGGTATCCGAAATCTTCGAATTGCTGTTGTTGTCCAGGCTGCCCATACTGAGGAGGAAATGCGTGAAACCATCCGATGAGGCCATTCGCTTTTTGATGCTCAAGGGTTTTTCTAGAGTCTAGAGGTCCGTCCGACGACCGAAAGGCACCAGCTGATACCCTGTCGAATAAGTCGGCCGTCAGCAGTTACAATGCCGCTTTGCTTTCTCGATCGGTCGTTTCGAACAACGCTTTGCGGCGCACGGAACAGGAGATCGTTGTCACATGAGAGCTCTCTGGAAAATTATTCTGCCTTTGCTTGCCGTCGCCGATCATGAACGGGGAGCCCTTTCCGAGCAGTTCCCTCTCCTAGAGTACAGAGAGGAGTTAATCTGAGAGACGCTTGTTTCTTAATGGTTGTTTGCGTTCTCTGAGTGAGTGAGACTCCCACCTCCTGATATTCTATCGAGACCACGCTGTTGACATCAGGGCGACCCGTATGCGACGGACGAGGCGTCATCTCAGGGATGGCGCAGAGCAGCTTTGCTGACGAACACTCGCCTTGTGTAATGAATTTAACCTTTCTCTCGAATCGACATTGCTGGAATTGAGGGTTTAAGTTACCCTACGACGGTTATCGCAAACTTCCTAAATGCAATCAACACGAACATCTGGATTTGACCCCGAATTCCACTGCACTCCTATAGACTAGATGTCTTACTTTGAATGAGTTTCTCATCAGAGGTCAACGCAGCTGTCAGTTCAGTTTTCGAGCTGTCAGGATCAGGCCGAGAGGGATTATCTAAGTCCTAGAATAAAATTATAAAATCCTAATTCTCCCGATATTGAAGCATCGAATAAACCATGGGAGATCACTCTCTTCTCTGTGTTACCGCAGAAGACGTCCTCGTCACTCCGAAGTCTGGATTCTGTTCTCCTCCCGGTACTCCGAGTGACCTAGCAGAGCTTCCCCTCACGGGAATTCCCATCAGACAACATAAGTGAAAACTCTTGCCAGCTGGTGGGAGTTTCGCATTGGAGACACCCGTAGATTGAGTTCACCGCAAAGCCATGAGCAAGGTGGAACGGGCGAAAAAAAACGCCCCATCATCAATCTGCAGAGATTCGCGCTTTTTTTGTAGACTCAGGATACCCTGACGTGAGATTCGCTACACTTCTCGAGAACCGCAGTTCGAAAGAACGTTACGCCGACGCCGACGCGTCAAATAATTCAGGTGAACGTCTCAGCTTCATGCTGATGCTAGTCAGATGCGACTTCCCATTCAAGTATTTCTCTCCACAGGGAAGTCGTAGACGGGGACCACTATCTGCGCATGTTGTCATAGGTCATAAGTACGTCCCGGAATATCTGGGAACGAGTTTTGAGAAAAAAATCCATCATACCGATTCCCGCGCCTCGCTGTCATTCTGCTGTCAGTTCCACGGGAAGGGAGTTCCTGGAAAAAAGCACAGCGAAAAAAGCACGCCTCTGACGGAGCTATGTTCGGAAGCAGCTTCGACCTGAGTCTCGCCTGGAGGATCTCTCCGATGGCATCAGACGAGGGATCGCACGAGTTTTCGTGACTCGTAATCCGAGACTCCAGATGACTTTCGTTCTCTAGCCTCCAGTCCCCGAGCTAAGCCCTCCTATCGCGTCGAAAAACGTCTAGAACGCCGCAATTAGCGAATATCAGAAAGGAGCGAGGATTCTCTCAGTACTGACACAGCCTTCGGGCCGACTCTACCTCGAGCGGAAAGAGTTGTTAATATTCTGTTCTGGGTTCTCAGCTGATCGGAAGCTATTCCGCCCGTGTAATGTTCCGGCTCGGATTTGTTCCGAGCGACTTTGAAAACTCTCATCCGTGATTCCGACGAAGGAAAATTTTGGAGGCGGAAAAAGTCAAAATATGGCCACGAATTCCTACACAAGGAACCTCTGCTCAGGACCTAGGACCTCTCCATGCCGAAGGGAGTGACAGAAGCCTTCGGCATGGAGAAACGAAAAGCCATGAAGAACGTTAGCCGGGGATGAATTCCTCCGACTGCAACTCGTTCCCGAATAGAGATTCGTCCGAGTAGGTATGAGTCATCTCGTCGAGGACGCTAAATGGCACTCGGCGAATCTTTTTCCGGAAACGACGTATCGTCGCTCGACATATCTCAAGTTTCGAAATCGCGAGTCGCAAGAACTTGTCTCAGCGGCGGTTATAGCGGTGGAAGTGTGACAACCATGCTCGATGATGACATCGCCTGTCTCCTTACGGGCATGCGATCATCGTGCGCTCGAAATTGGAAACGACATAACGATGGGAACAATTCGAGGCCAGCTGAGCTAATTCGGAAGGTCCGAGTGAGCAGTCAGATCGGCCCGCTGGAGAGTTCAGATTAGAGTTGAGGAAGGGTCTTACATCTTTTTCCCTCCCAAGTGAGTCCGTTCAGTCCAAGCTTCCCCTGTAGAATTTGAGTTTTCGTCGAGCATGCGCGAATCCGACTTCCAATACATACAGACTCGATCCGAGCGCGAGATCATCGACGGAGGGAGGATCCTCGGAGTCAGACCTCTGTTTCCGTTTCGGGAAGCACCAGGAAGACCTGATAATGAGGACTGGGGAATGCGCAGAGCATAGGCGGTTCCCGAATCCCCGCGTGAGTCCGTAGTTCAGTCATTGAGCTCCGAATCTCTCGGTTTTCATCATCGTATGCTAAGTTATCTTCCGGTAGGTACAACCTTTCCCGTCAACACACAATGGCATTCTGCTTCTTGGACGAGGAGTGACGTCCACGGAAAGAAGCCGGACGCGAATAGCACTCCTGTATATCTTCGCATCGGTCCAGGCTCTCTTCCCCGAGCTAAGTGCGACTCCTGTCCAATTTCGTCACCTGAGCTTGTGTGCGAATTTTTCAACAGAGAACTTCGCGGAGGAAGAGCCGATTCCAATGAAAAGCGAATGATTGTGAAAGAGGACACGGACGGAGACTTCCTCCCGAAGGCAGGCCTCCAAGAGGAAAGTCAGGACCCTTCGATCGTGATTGAAACCAAACAAATCCCGGAAAAATGGGAGGAGGAGACCAAGGATCTGCTTGAGCGGCCTGGCATGGAAGGCTAATGTGTAAAGTTGTGAAACACTCGGAGGGTCAAATAGATGAATCTAAAGGGGAGGCGGTCGGGCATATAGCCTGAGCCCATCTATCTGTGGAGTCGTTCGTCGCAGCAAGGCGGCCAGATCGTGGAATTGATGAGCTGTTCAGATCGGGCTTCCGAAGACTTTGGAGCTCACCGGGTTCGAGAGCGTCCTTGCCTTAGTGCGTGAGTCGCCTCCCGAGGAAGATGAAGCACCCTTGTCGTGCTTGAGGGTGACTCTGACTTCTGAAGAGTGATCTGCCTCCCTATGTCCTAGTTTGCGTGAAAGTGGTGTGACTCATGCGCGAACGTGAGGACGAAACCAGAGAGAAGAACGACCAGCTTCGGAATTCCGCATCGGCGTCCATGTCATCCGAGCGCTTACCTTTGCGGGGGAGTTCCATCCATGGGTGATCCTCACCCGACGCGAGCGGGCTGTTCCCGCGTATATTCCTCCGCCGAGAGCCGCCGTTTGAGCTCCGAAACTGGCGCTTCGCTAGCCCTGGGAGTCGATGCGGTCGTATCCGATGCCACAACAGGGAGATGCTTCCGGGGCGTTCTGTCTAGCGACGATGGGTCGCCCACCCATAAATCGGTGACGGCCAATTTACGCGCACGTCCAATTTGAGCGCAAGTACGACTTGAGCGCAGATCCGACTTGAGCGCTCCGCCAACTCAGCGGAGAATCTCCAGAAGTCTGAAAACCACTAGATGCGCTCCCCCGAGCTGGTCTCAATGATTATGTTAGGTTAGGTTCCCCCGGGCGAGCTCCGACAGGCGAGCGGAGCGAGCATAGCCAGGAAGTATGATACTGTGAGGCGGACTAAACCTCAGTTTCGCGAGGCATTCGAACTGAGGTTTAGAGCCGAACCACAACCGGAGAACAGCACATCGTTCTAGTCGCGCCTATGACTTTGAAGGTATGCTCAGTGCCGATTCTTCATGCCCCGAATCAGGAATCGGCTGGGCTAATAGGAGCTCCAAGCCCCAAGCAGGATACAGTGCCGCTCTCTCGCATGCAGCTGACCATTTTTGAAAATTCTCCGCTAGTCCGGCAGTGAGCTCAGGTCAGATTGGCGCTCAAATTGGATCTGTGCGCAAATTGGATCTGCGCGCGAATTGACTTGCACGCAAATTGGTACGCACCCCATAAATCGAACTATCCTTCCCTCTCTTCTGCGAATACATGAGTACCTGAACGTTGTAAAGCTGAGACTCCACTTTCTTTCGAATCACCTTCTATCGAGAGACGCCCATACCGCGGGGAATCGTTGCTCCTCGGTGCGGGACAGTTGTACCGGGAACGATTTTCGCACAACCCCTGCAGCCGGCTCCGGATCGGCTGGTCTCGAATGCGGGAGATTTGTACTTTGATTCCTCGATCCAGCCTCGGGACCGTTTCCTGATCGAAGATGCTCGGGTAGTAAAATGCCGACATTCTACAGAGTCGAACTGGTTCAACCCGGAAAATCGCACCTACGGCCTGGGCAGCCACTGGACTCCTCCATTCAATGCTCCTCGGTTTTACGTCAAGCCGTCTATTCATATCCGTATCGACACTGCTTGGAGCGACTAAGCACCGGTTCCTACATCGATTCTCAGGTCATTATTCACATCCATCTCTAGAGCATTGACTCCGCTTCCTGCTCTCGAGGAATTCCTTCGGTGCGACGGAAAGAGCGCTGATGGAAGTCCGCTGCCTTGTTTACCTGCATATGAGCGCTACTACGCTCATTTGTGCTCAGTTCTGTTATGAGCTTCGACGTACCCCAAGGGATGCCCGGTGACGGTGCTGCCTCGCCTGATGGAGAAGTTGCGCACGTGGTTCTGTGAATAGAGGATATCGGATATATCCTCCGGCATTGTGGGAGGAAGAAGGAAAACGAGGCGGATATTAGATGGCCAGGCAATGTGTATCTCCCAGATGGAACGGCACATTATCTCGGGAGAAGACTAAAGAATTTATTCCGGATCAGGGCGAAACACCACTTCGTGGATTGCAGACGGAAACAGGAGTGCCGAGCCCTCATTCCGGAACCCTTACATAGTTCAAGCTCCCCCGAGCGAGAAGTATATGGTACCGTCAGCATTCATCTCGTCATGAGGGGGCCAACGGAGTCTGCCATTGTGGCTTTCGATATCCACTGACATCCTCTCGGTATCCTAGAACACACGAGTATCGAGCTCACTTCCGTGTCATTGGAAGCCGAGTGACGCTATACTACGTAAGTCGGATCAGAACACTTGATGGATCCAGTCTCAATTCTAAACTTCCTCACTCTGTGTATTTCCCGCTGCGGGAACATATTCTAAGGACGTCATTTCCTCAGATCCGACGCCGGGACTCGCCTTGCTGTCGACCATATAGGAAATAAGCCTCGTAAATCATTTGAGATGTCGAATGAGGACAACTGGAGAAAATTTTCTAGGTCTCATGGGATATGACCTTTGAACAGGGATAATTTCTCGAAGACTTTCTTGGCCGGCTTCATGTTTTCGACATGCTCCCGTAGCGATCGAGATCAGCTTCAATATCCGCGTCCGCGCATCAGGACTCTTTCCGTTTCCGAGACGTCTGTTGCTCTCGGCGGACGTCGCTACAGTTGTCCTGTGGCGGTCAGAAATCCCTTCCGCCCCCGAACGGTTCCAGAACAAGGAGTTCGAACTAGGATCGTGCGGCCTACCGCCGAGGTCGAGGCGCTACTATTTGAATATTCAGTGACGGCCGCGGTCAGGACTCGGACTAACAATGAAAAGAGCAGATCGACACTCGAATCGGAATTCTCACTCCTGTCGCACTCATACGGATCATACGGATTTTGAAAATTTATTCGAAAACGTCGAGGCTCTGCCCAAGCGGGACTCCTCCGTCCTCCGGTGCCACTATCGGGCAGTCTCACTCAGCCGCAAAAGGTCGCAGACTTCTTTGAAGCGTTGACCCATCATGAGTTGTCGGAATATGCATTTCTTGCAACGAGGTCTCGAAACATGCATTTTCAGTAGGGGAGATCCAACACATGTTTTTTCGTTGGAAGTCTGATCTCTACAAGGGTGAGAGGATTCACTTTCTCAAAGGACTTCGAGATTATCACTATCGAATATGTACGGTGAGGTTATTCAGGTCATCAATGATGTACCCTTCATGGCTCAGGGTGTGCAAGCTTCGCAAATGGAATTATCGCTCTTCCACGTCTAGATCAAGCTGATGGAAAACCTCTTCAGAATTGCTTGTAATTAGCCATCCCAGCCCCGGGTAAAACGGAAAGACTTGAGACCTCACTCATTGCAACGCTATGGAGGCGTATATACGGAGAGCATTCGAGGCGCGTCTCAGTTTGATCGTCGACAGCATGGAGCAGGGTTTCGCTAAGTCGAACGATGGGAACACGTAGAGACGGATCTTAGATCATGCTGAAGTATCGGCTGAAATAACGGGGCTGCCCATGAGCTCGATCTGGAGATCGGGAACAATCCTATCCTAGACGCTATAAACCGCAAGGGGTTGGTCAAGGTGACGATAGCCTTTTCATATTGGCGCGTCATATTTCCCTCGGTACCCGATGAGCGATTCTCTGCAGTGTACTTGTCGTACCCAACACTCCCTGTACCCGATCGTAGGAAAATGGAGGCGTCAGATAGGGACGAGGTGACCGGGCAATCCCTCCGCAAGCCTATGGAAACTACCTCATCGGAATCCGATTTGGCATGTCATGGAGCAAAGAGAATTCAAGGGGTGAAGTCGACTTTATTTCTCGCTGACGTTGTCCGGAGAATAGGTTTTCAACGCAGCTCTTGCCATCTCCAGTGCACCGTCTCGTGTCTGGTTGCCACCGATGAAACCAGACGCATGAACAAATATACATCCTGGGATCCCCGACTCACGGCAGAGTTCATCGTCCCTGAGGCCTCTCCAAGGTAGCGAATGACTGCAAGAAGCATGGAGGATTGGGATCACATTGGAACAAGTACTGGAGCGGACTCCCTGAGGGGTGAGACGATGAAATGTCATACCGAGTCACTGAGGCTCCTGAACTCACCGATTGTCGAAGGCTCCGAGCTTGAGTGGGACACATTGGACTCGATAAGACTTCGTGTCCGTGTGGATCACGTATATCAACTCTCCTTGGATACCGAGCTCCTCCTCGATGTCGAACAAGTGATCTTTCCACGGGCAACCAGTCTGTGGCAGTTCGATGATTCTTCCGCTCTTGTCGACCTGCGAGATGAACTCCGCTTTGATCCACGTACTGACGAGGCTATGGTTGAGGCAAGACTCGTCTCGAATCATCTCCCGGGACCCGATCCATGTGCGGTTCAAACTCACTTCATATCGTTTGTTGATCGCTTCTCGCACAAGCTCCTTCGCCGGCAACCAGGCGTTGCTGTAGTAATTCACCTTATCCAGGAATTCGGTCTCGGCCAATTTCATGGCAAGTTGGAACTGTCGATCGGCGGCCGCCGGTGTCTGCTCCTCGTTCCATTTCGGGTTGAGGCCTCCCACACGAGAGCTAAGACCCGTGTTGATGCGATACCTTCAATGCAACGTAATCCGGGACGCGAGTCAGTCTTGCGGAATTTCTATTTCAAAGCCAGAAAACTTGAATCAGAATTTTCATTGCGAGCAATTTACCGGGTGTCTCCATCACACATGTTGACTCCGTTATCGATAGCGTCGATCTCTATGATGAACTCTTCATAGATTTTGCGGTAAACCGTTTGAGTATCTCTATGTTCAGCGGGTCGCTTCATGAGATCGGCCAGGATTTTCTCTCCATAATGGAAATATATGAGCCCCGCAGAGCTGAGTTTGATTTCCCATGGAAAATCCGCTCGGAGCGAATGCATCGTTTCCTGAGAGACGAATCATCCTTAAGAACGATTCTCCATCCGCTGGGAACTACAATCTATTGACTGAGTGAGCGCCGAATGAGGAATGTAGGGATATATTCTCTGCTGGAGAGATCACTCCACTCACCTGGAAAGTCTTTTGGTGATGGTCGAATCGGAACTTTGACGCATCGTAGACCGCGCCGACATCGACAACGACATCGCAGGTTTCCAATAAGGCCGGGTCGCGCGTTCTGGAAGAGAATCAAGCGAGATTGAATAACCCCCAAAGGATCCTGTAAGGATGCATCTCCGAAGCGATGAGCAACACCGAGAGCCCAGTGATGAGTGAGACCTGAGACGACCTCCGCCCGGCGGAGCTTCCAGGACGTCTTCGACAATATGGAGACCAAAGTTCCTTAAGGGGGCAGGAAGCAGTGATAACTGAACTTTACTTCAATATGAGGGGTACGGATAGTCAGAAGCCGCGAGCGGGGCTGATTGCAGACCAGCTCCATCTCAAATCTTGATTCGGGACTAACCTTAGGATTTCTGCGGTAGAATATTCAGGGAGCAGTTTCAGCAATGCGCAGGCCAGAGCCTCGTCGCAATGGAACGTACCATTGTGAGTTCCGATTTTCTTTGGCACTGCAATCGGGGAAGAGATACTGAGCTTTTCAATTATTCGGATCGACTGAATCAAAATGATGAGGTTCATAATTAGTATTTCAGGGTTCGGAATTCGTAAGTCCCCCTCAGGGGAATTTTTGGAAAGCCGGGAGCGAATTTCGGAACGCGTTCCGGGAGTCTCGCCGAAGATTTGGAGAATTTCCGTCCTAGAGGTTCCTGGCTCCAAATTGAAAGACGATGTTCAGGAGCGGGGATCCGCAAGGAAATTCGGCAAAGTTGCATAGTTAGGCGACAGTCAGCTGGATCCCTCCCATGGAGTCGGTCATAGAGATGAACGTCAAAACCATTCAATTTATTCATTAACAATTAGTGTTCCAACAGTATGTACAGTGTACAGACGGTTTTGATGCACGGAAAGCTGTGCGAAATCGAGTCAGAAAGAGATACGAAACATCACTGCACCAAGTTATTTACAGTTTCAACCAAGCTGGGGAGATCCCAAGGTCGCAATATCAATCTGTACAAACATCAGCGGCTCATAGTTTTTTTCATCTCTTGACATTGACTTTGCATGGAATCTCTCTCTAAATTGATCCTTGTACATCGGAAGCTTCTTGTATCGTGGCAGGCGAGCGGGGGAAACGCTCGGATGCTTCGTTGCGGTTATACGGCGTCAGCAGTTGGGTGCTCGGACATCCTTCCACCATGAGTCCGGATAGAGATACTTTTGGATTTCGAATTCTTCGTGGGGCGCATTCACACGCACGCCCATGAAATCAAGCTGCTTGAGCGGGGGCTTGATGAGACGGGCGGGAAAACAGGTTCCCCCATCACAGACTTTCGAGCTCTTGAGTCGATGTTTCCAGCCGACCCGCCACGCGGACCCCTCTTGGCTTTCGAACACGTACAAGTAGACTTGACAGCGGACATCGGCATCGTGCCACGCATAGTACAGCCCGTTAGGGGAATCGTAGCGCACCTCCAACCCGTGCCTGCGAAACGCCTTCACGACGGCGCCTTCGTCGGCCTTCTCCAGCAATTCCTCGTTCTGGATACAGAGTTCTATCCGGTTGGTCCACGGGAGAGGCTCTCCGATTTTCAGTGCTCCCCAGAGAGAGTAGAAACAGAGGTAGTGTGAGATATCGAGCGACTGGAGAGACTTCAAAACCAGCGGAAAGAGCTTCTCGAGACACGGGTGAGCGTCCTCGGTGGCCCCGCAGCCATTGGCTGCCTCTTTTTGTAGAAAATTCACCACCACCAACAGAATAAGCATCAGGAGCACCACATACAGGGAAGTTCGTCGAAAACTCCGTGATCTGTGAAAGCGCATCGCGTGGTTGTCGCACGAACGCGTGCGACGCGACTCAGCGAGAGTGTCGAATTGTAAGAGCTCGTCGTCTGTCGAGCACTCGTGGATGAGCGAAAGCAAGAAGACCGAAAGCGGCTCTGATTACGGTCTCTGCCTGCATAACACAACTTCGATACTTTGGAGCCTCACCGGACCGTACCCTCCGCACCGGAGCGAAAGGAAGGTCAACAGACGAACTTGTCAGACAAAAAAATAGCCTTACTACTTGTCGACTCATCGAACTTGACTATTCCCTTGGCGTATGGAGCAGCCTCCACTCCGTAAAAAATAGGGGAGCTAACTCCACTCCAGCATCAACTTCTCCTCTTCCTCGAACTAAGATCCCAAAGCACTACGGTCAAGTAAACAACCTGAGTGAGCTCACCCATTTTTTGAGAGCCGGTGAATTGTCGCCCGGATCTGGGAATACGGAGCAGCCTACTACTGCTGTGGAATAGAGCTCGCAGTGCCAACTTTAACACGAGTGAACGGGGCAATTAGAGAATCAGTGGAACGCCGCGTTCTCTAAAAACCCTCACACACACAGATGACCGGCTCGTTTTGTTTTCTGCTCTCAATGCAGATGACAGAGACCGCGATGATCTTTGTCTACTATCCGATCGGGCAATCCTCGACGATCGGACAGTAGGCAAAGATCATCGCAATCATTTCCCCCGCCTAATCCATTCCGGCCAATTCCAATATATTCCGCCATTATATTGAATGGAATTTTCGCATGCGATCTCCTGCGAGGAAGTTCTGCCTGCCTGTTCGCTCAGGATTCCACTTCTTGTCCCGCTCTTCCGTGTGGCGTCTCTGCAGAGCGCGGCTTGATTCGCCTCTGGAGTGTCGGCCGTCATCCTGGCTGTTTGTCCGCGGTGGTGGAGTGGTGGCGGTGCGGCGGTAGTAGTAGCAGAGTGGTAGCGGTGGATGAGGAGGAGGACCGTAGCACGCAGCAGCGGCGGCAGCAGCAAAAGCAGCAGCAGACGGGCCATGGCGTTGTTGTGAGAAGAGAGTTGTTGAGGAAGAAGAAAATGAACCAGAGAAGATTACTATGGATCAGTAGATGATGAATTAAAAAATCCACAGAAACTTCTCGAGAGTGCCATTCTTGTGAGAGTGTGTGTCAAAATTCCGGGAGCTGGTATAGTGAGTGTATTGACGGCGGAGATTGAAATGAACATCTAAACCGGTCGCTCAGGTAAGCAAAGCGAATCCGTAGGGTTTCATCAACGCTCTTTCGGAAAGCGCTCGACATTTCAAAGAGTCCACGCATTGAGAAGATCCCTCATCCTCTATAGAGGCGGCATTGCAATGCAGAGGCATCCGATATCTTTTGAGTGACACGCTCGGTCAGCATTCCAGAACAGACGCCGGCCAGTGCTCTCCGAATGATCGTAGAAAAATCGCTGCATTGGACGCTCAGGACGGATGCGCACTTTTTCTGCTGGTCTAGCATTGGAGAGATCTCGAACTTCTCGGGATTTAGAATTAATACAACGGTAGCTGATTTCCACTGCCGTTTCTCGAGAACTACATACCAGCTGATCCGATGGCAGCGTAAGAATCGTGAAGTCAATTAGCTGTTCTAATGTAACGCGCCAGGATAATCGAATCCGCCCCCTCTCTCTCGATGCGAACCCCAAAAAAGTGGCAACTTCATTGTCATCAGAAACTCTGAGCCGATTCACTCGCTGGAAGTTTGGCAAGAGTCAAAACTGATGGTGAAATGTGTGCAGCGTCATATGTTGAAGTCGTGGGCTTCTCCGAGTCTCCAGCTGCGCCTCACCTCAGAACCTCATCCGCGCCCCACCCACCCTAGGCCTACACCTCTCCCAGAGCGGCGGCGCAATTGACAGTGCTTTTGGAAATCGGGCGCGATTCCATCGAATGCTCTGATTTATGTGTATGTGTCCTCCGATGTTGTATTTGACCGGTGACGCGGATGACCAATTTCATGAAGCTCCATCATTGTGGAGATACTTTTCTCCGACGAAAATTGTATCCGAAAAATAGCGACAGCTCTGGAAAATACAATCATCTCGACAGACCGTCTCGTCGGCCGTTTTCTCGAGAGTATCGACAAGGAGGGCTCACTTTTCCGTGACATTTCCACGAAGCCCCTTCCCGTTTTTCCTTCACGTCCTCTGGTGTGACATACCTACAGGCGCGGGTCTGGTTTGATACGTTCGCAAGAAACGAACATTTGGCGAGAATGTCCAAATTATGCTCTCTAGAGAAAGAGCGTAATGAAAATCTCAAGCTCGAATTCATTCCACGCTTGCCTGCTGTGGAAACTGTCGGCATTAGCCCAGGGGTTCCGATTTCTAGCTGAATCGCTCAAAGACGAAAACAGCTACGCGTTGCGCAGAACTCGATCCACAAACTAATGCACTCGTTATGCTCAATCGCTCAGCGCGTTCGCATTAGACGTCGTGCACGAGAGCACTCGCGCTGACCATCCCTGATGCGACAGTTAAGGTCCTGATCGCCCCGATTCTCATCCCCCCTAACATGAATTTAGGGGGGATGAGAATGCGTTTACATTGAAAATATTCCGAAGAACCGCTGGCCTGCTTAGCTTCCGCATTCTTTTCGGGGCCTGGGAAATCGAGATATTCTGCATCAAGTACGCCGTCATACTATGTCGATGCTCCGAATATTTTTCCGGCGGCTCATATCAGCCTCAAGCAAGCAGACGGAGAAGAATTGATTCGAGCACGAGACCATCGGAAAAACTGATCATGAGCTGTGGTACCTGTCCAACTTCCGCAAATGTCCATGGTTAAGCGAGGAAGCTTTCATCGGGTATTTACGCGACAACGACTCTTTCGTTCGTTTACTGTGAGAATGTTTCGCTGGAGACAGCTGCGAAAGTGGCCTTGAGATCGAATTGAAATGAGTCGGTCAATTTTCCCGTTCAATTATTTGGGGATTCTCCGCGGCTTTCGCGTCATCGTACGTGTGCGACTTCCGATAACACGGAAATTTCACGCGAATTTCACGTGTATCCTAGCTGCTACTCGGCTCTCCAGGCAACAGCGACGTATGGCGGTGTTATTTTCTGAGCATAGATGAATATATTTCCGAATCGAAGCGATCCGAGACGACATTGAACATCATTTCCGATTATGTTTTCAATGCTCACTGTGTTGTAATCCGAGTCGCTCGCCAGATCCAGATTCTGCTAAAATGAGTTCCGGGGTATTATCGAGGATCTGAAGATGCCCATTGGTTCAGTGGTGAGCCTTCCCTCCGACACTTTATATTTTGGACGCTAGGATAGTTTTTGTCTGGATCGTCTCCGTGACTCAGAAATGACGCCTTTGAACGTACCCAGCTTTAAACGGTTTCCCGACGCGGGGTCGGATTCGCGGAGTCGTGCAGCGTCTCACAAGGACGACGGTGACGTTACCGACCATCCATGTCCCGCTTCTACGTCCATAGGACTTACTGTCTGACTGACGGTCGGTCGCTCGGTCTAAGCGACAGAAGAAACTTTTTGCTGCGGAATCGCGGTCAGAGGGAGTTTCTTGCACAACAATTGCCTTCTTTCTTCCTTGAAGGGCACAGTTTAGTTTTGAGCACGCTTTTATTAGGCGCCGATGAAGGATAGAATAGGATAGAATATTCTCAGCCCTACGACGCTCACGCAAGAGCTGACAAAATAAACTGATCGCCCGCGAAATTTCAGGATCGGCGAGGCGCGATGCGACGGGGAGTCGGTCCTCTTGTTGGGTGATTTCTTTCATTTGCCTGTAGGCTGTCGACGTCGCATCGACTCCCTCTAGTTTGATCGAATTATTATTAGGGCTGGGATTATTAATGAAGGATTACGGGCTATCGACTGAACCACATCGCTCGGCAAAAAACGTGGACAGCCCCACAGGGAAGAAAACAGCCGCTGATCCGTCATGACACGTATGGTGCGCGGGGTTTCCCGGCAGAACAATCCGGTTACGCGCGCCTCATGCAGACTATCTTACCGCACTGTGTACAGGTAGGCGCTCGATGAGTATTTCGAGCGGAGCGGCTAGCTCGAGGTGCTGAGCTGATGTTATCGACTCGAAACGATAAACAGCATCCGAGATGCCTCATTGTTAATGCGAGAAAATCACAACGTTGATATTGCTGATGATTCCATTGTTCGAAACAGCAGCTACTTCAATCGGTCAGAAGTCGAACTTCGCCTAGAGCTGTAGCGTGAAGAAGCTGAAGAGTCTCGTTGTCGCTGTTCGGCTGTTGTTTGGTCAGGACGTATACAGCGGTGACGAGCTGCTCTTGCTTTCGTCTTCTATTTTGGTTTTTCAGTCGGCCGGTTTTCTCGCTCGCTCGCTCTGCTTCCCCTCGTCTGGCCCCCTCAGCTCACCGCCTGGGGGATCGCGCGCCACACACAGCGCGCGCATCATCCCATCGGAGTGACAGATTCGGACGGCCGTTTGAATTGAGCCAAGTTCGCCGTCGCTGCCACCGGCTCCGACACCATTGATTTCTTCATGAGTCGTTCCGCCCACGCTTATTTGTCACCTATCCATCAAGAGATAACCCATTTTTATTCCGATCGCACGTCGGACCATGAAGGGAAGAATGCTCTCCTGTCGCGTAGTTCACACGCAGTTTCGTGAGGGATGCTCCTCAAGAATTCCTTGATCGACACGATGGGCGAATGTAACGAAAAGGAACGACGTGAAACAGTTCGTTGCCACGTCCGGACTGATTTTCTCGGAGTCCTCGGTAGAGAGCTCTGGAAGCAGGCTATTCCACCGTAGCCCTTCGGGTCCGATCGGTTGCTTCTTGATTTGTTTTGGGCGGGAGCGTCTCGAGCCTCTACGCGAACTGTCTCTCTGAACGGCGCGGGTGCTTGGGGCACGGGGCTTCTCATGCCCCTATCTGAGACCACTGGATTTGAAACGTCTCACGACAAAAGTCAGGCAGATCCGCAGGATAACGGCACACAGACCATCGACCGGAAGGCTGACGTTGCGAGAACCTGCGTGACAGCCGAAACCGTTTTGCTCTGACTCATGAGCGGCTCGGAGCAAAAAACTACGATCTCGATAGCCTTGTACTCCGAACGAGAGCTGACCGCCCGTGGAATCGGAGTCGACCGGAACAGAATGTAGGGCACAAACTGGTGCTCCTCGAGAATTTTTATATGACATCGGGTTGTTGTAAGCTGGATGCTGACATCCAGAATCGCGGTAATTCCAGCTGGCCTTATCCAGGTTTTATCCCAGCGTTCTCACCTTATCCCAGCTCCAAATAAGTCGCGTGAGCTGCGGCTCGAGTCAAAGAATTCCGTCAAAAACTACCATAAACGGTACGCTATCGATACGCCTCTCTTTCCCGGAGAGTGTTTCGGACGTGAAGCAGGAGAAGAGTATGCGCAGCAGCAGCAGTAGCACGACAGTATCTCGTTACCCGAGCAGAGAATCGGTCTGGGGATCCCGCCAGGATCTCTTTTGATTCGTCGAGGACTGTTTGCGGAAGAGAATCTAACGCGGAAATTCCATGCGTGCCGCGTTTTCCCAATGAACGGGAGGAAGCGGACTAATTGGCGACCGATCTCGTAAACGGCTCCGATCTGAGAGACCAGCGATTTCCTACTGTCAATCCAAGAGCGGGCTCCCCGCGGACCGAACCGGAACGAAAGGAGCGACTCGTCAAGCTCCGAGCGTTTCGAGCCTACGCGATCGTCCTCGGGAGCGTTTCTTTGCGGAATAAAAGCTTCCCGTGTCGCATTCCAGCGCCTCGGGGCACGCATTTTTTAAGAAAGGTTCCTTTATGGCTCTTTCTCATGAAAGCTTTCTCTGACGCGCGTTCCCTCCGAGAACCGCTCAGACATGATTTTCCGCTCCGCTTCCGCGGAGGAATTCCTGAATCCCATCGGCTGCGGATTGCGACACCGAGTACTGCGGGGATGATTCCCCATCGGAAGCCCCGATCGGGAACGGCTGATATCGACTCCGAAAGTCATCTTGCCCTCCGATGGAAACACATTAGAGCTCAGTTCGAAAACAACAAGGTTAAGCCGGGTCGCAGGATCGAAGTCACTTGGAAGACGTTCGTCGGGTCGTCGCCATTGCACGATCGCAGCTGAGGTCGTGTGACCATCCGCGTTCGGAACATTTACCTAGTTCCGATATGTAGGTCCGGAAATCAATTATAGTCCATCGGGAACGCTACAAATTTATTCGGGATAGAGACACAGGGAGGATCGCGATAGTTTGAGCCCTTGTCGTCGTTGATCGTGAATCGTGACTTGTCGATTCTTCAGAGGTTCCAGCCTGGACGCGTAACATTCAGATAGCTGCAGATGACTGAGCCCGATTCTCCGTTTTTTATTTGCTGTCAAAAGAAGAGACAACATATTCGACCCAGAAATCGGGTTCTCGTCTAACGGGTTAGGTGGTGGGAGGCTGATCTGGGTGAGCCGCGTGGTGTTCGAGTAGTCAACGCGTGCGGCTCATGCAGCCGTGCGCTTTGTTGACGCCGCCATCGTCGGGGGCTGCCGGCTTCAATTCCCGAGGTCGGCGATGTTTCTCGTTGGGGAATAAAGGTTCCAATTCAAAAGTCAGGAAAGTCAGGATTGCACTATGAGGGAGAAACAGCGACAGGCCTGATACCCTCCCCCGCCCTTACTGTGGTAGTAACGAGAAGATTATAATTATAGGCTGATCTGGAGTCTTCTCGAGACAGTGAACGTCTGTCTGATCGATGATGTTGCGGGAACATCTTTCTTGGCGGAACAGGTACGGAACTGACCGAACCGAACTTTTGAAATGTTGGAGTCCTGAAGATAATTGCTCCGGTTGAAAGATGGTGTAGCAGCGTCATTCTGCTCTATCTGACGGGTAACGTCGCAATTCACAAGAGCGATCGCAGTCGATTTTTGCACTCGCAGACGGACGGGCGCGAAGCTGTCCGAGTTTTCCTCCCATACTCCTTGGATCGTTCCAATCTTCGTCGACTCCGGCTACCTGAGGCTTAGAGAGTCTGTCGAACTCGCCGATCGCTCCGCACATCCGCTATAGATTCCGTGACTCGTGACGCAACAACGTGATTTGGCCTTTGGAATCACCGATCCGATTCCAAACGGTGTCACATGACATCACATTCGACCTTTGGATGCCGAATAAGTTCGATGGGAGTAGGAAATTCGAACAAGCTCGGACTGCTGTTTGTATCAGTACGTCAGAGAAATGTCATGTCGGTGGAAGGCGCGCGCATTCACGGAACTTTGGGAAAGCATTAGCGAAGAGAAGAGAACTGTTTCTCGCACGACCTTTCGATGAGCTGCGGCGCGTCCTTCGCTAATGGGCAGTTCCGAAACATCGTGTTCCGTCCCGAGGAAAGCTCGTTGGCTGAGACTGGATGACTTTTCGCGTCGCGTCGTGAGCTTCATTAATTCTCTCGGCGCTGATTCCTGCTCCCCGCTGGATCTCAGTGTCGTCCAAGGGCTCTCCGTCCACCAAAACCCTCGGGGGGGGCCTTTGCTTTGAGATGCTGCTTCTGAGGCTCGGGGTCAAGTCCGTACCTAGGAGTATCTGTCTTGCGATGAGCGAGGGAAAAGCGATGGCCTCCGGGCAGATTTGCCCTGTGCGTGATCCGCGACTGGAATTTGGTGATCAGTAGATATTTCGATGATTCGACGGTTTCTCCGAGAAAGTCTCATCCTCCAACCATCCCAGTCAGAGCGAAGTGTGGAGACAGAGCTGGAGGGAGAAATTATTCCTATGACGGGAAGACGACTACATGCAGTCAGCAGTGGAAATGTTTACATTGAATGGAAAATCAACCGCCGAACACATGTGCCGAGGCAAGACTACAACTACCACGGAGTCCACTGCTACCGCAGGCATCTCGGGGTCGGAATGTCGGTTGATGGTTTCTCCATTCCGATAGTGGCATTCGGCGCTCAGATCGCTGACGTGAGCGCCAGCCAGCGTCGGCCGTTGTGCGTGCATCCGTCCGGCCACCACAGTCATTCTTGCGTGAGACATCCACGACGAAGAAATAAAAGATTACGGAGGTAAAGAGTACGCTCGATACAGAGAGGCTCGCCGACGATGACAGTTTTCGCCTGTCTTCAATGTCAACCGGACTCAGCGCGCCCATCGACTGTTTTGTTTGGTTATTATCTCGATGAACAAGGAGGACTGTCAGAGGGAGAGACTTGGTAGGGCGTACCCGTTCAATGTTAGGGCCTCTGCTCTCGAGCAAATCGAATAATTGAATCGAGAGCCGCTCGCGGAGTTCAGTTCGCTGTCAACACGACCATACACGAACCACGAAAAGGAAATGTGTTCGGAAACCGAGCCACTCCGGCTACGGGCCGTACCAGCGGTGGATGCCTTGCGAGCGTTTCTTCTGATGCAGGAGAAAGTTCCAGCCTTCTGGAAGTTTCTCAGACCCCGAGGAAGTCAATCGCCTCGAAAAAAACACCAATGGTCTCCGAGCCGCTTCCATTCCTTTTTCCTCGCTAAAGCCGACGCTATAATTAGGGGGAGAAGAGAGCGAGACGATCCATCTCCTGAAGCGTCCTTCCCACGAGTTCATTCTCCGGAGTCTTGTATTCCCTCGCACGTCTCATCCGCGAGATTTCAGAGGGAAAACGGACGCAAGTCTAGCGAGCGGAAGAATTCCTCGTTCAGGAGCGATTTCCGTCGCCTCAGACTCAGATCGGGACTCTCTCGTTCCGTGGAATCTACTCCCGAGAGTGTTCCGGAGGATTAAAGCTCCGGAGTCTTTGTGGCGGCTTCTCCATACGTCGATAATAATGATTACTCGATCGTTGGATAGGGCTTCGGAAATGGGAAACGAAACTCGAGAGAGGAAGATCGGTTGGATCGACGACTCAGATTTCTCCCACCAGACGTGGGGAAGCCTCCTCCTGACGCGTCTTCGATTCTACTCACCTCCTCGGGACCACGATATTTTATTATTAGGATTCCGTACTCAGAACTCAGCGCCAAGGAAGCGCTTCCCGGAAGTGTACCCCTCACTCAGCAGCCGAAACTTCTTCCTCACCCTTCTCCATTCCGCTCATGATACCTGAGGGAATGTGACTGTCGATTGTGTTGACTGTGCTCTCAACGGCAGAAGACCCGCAAGGGCTTTCGCGGTCAGCTTCGACAATCACCACATTTGTAGCGATCTCTGCTGGAAGCCTCCACTCTCCGAGGGTAAACACAGCGAGAGTGCGCTTTAGCGGAACCTGTTGACTTATCAGTATCTTACCCCTATGTGAAGGAGCGGTGTTTGTCCTAGCGAATATCCGAAAATGATCGCGGTCAGGTGTTCAAGTCACGTGAATTTCCGATCGGACCGCCGAAATTGATACCCATCCCCGAATCGGCTGTCGGTGGGGACGAACATGAGTGCAGCTACGGATCCCCCCGAGGGAGGAATTACCGTGCGATAGGTGAATCGTGAGTCTAATCGTGAGTTTCCGCTCTCATTTCCAGGAGGCACCGGATCAGAAGTTCATGCGTTCGAGGAGGAAACTTCTCTTTATCTACGAAGACATATCAATTAGCTAGTGGCTAGCTGAAACTAGGATCAGCCTCCCCAGAGCCTACCGCTGCGTCCGAACTAGTTGACAAGGGAATCATCCTCCTCGCTTGAGTGGAAATCTGTACAGGGGCGACAAGAGGTCTGGAGGAGCGAGTATCATCCGATAGCTCGGCTCAGTACGACGGGTCGCCTGAGTAGTCCATCGTCGACTGAATTGAAAACAAAAAATAGTGAGCTCAACTACAGTCGACACTCTGTGATGCAGCAATCCTTAGCGCCGCAATACGGCCACCAGCAGCATCATGGGGGACAACAGTACCACCCCTCACAGCAAGCACAGCACCAACAGCAACAAATTCATCACCCGCAACAGCATCCGTCGCAATACCACTCCGGTATCTATCCTGGCGCGGTGGTGACTCCGTCTCAGCAGATCCAAGCTGCTGGTCAAGAGGTGGTCTACGACACCACCTGTTATCAGCAACAACAGTATCAGCAAGCACAGGACAGAACGCAACAAACCGTAGGCATGCAGCCACAGCCGCAGCAGCAACAACAGCAACCACAACCTCCTTTGTCGCAGCAACCGCAGCCAAGTCCTCAGCAACCTCAACAACCAACTCAGCAGCAACAACAGTACCAAAAATGGTAAGTGCTCATATCCTCGATCTGGAGGACGACACAGCTCATTGAAGTCATCAGTACATAATCGAGGACGTGTCCCTCTCGGCCTGTACCGACGCGCGACGGGAGGAGGAAAAATATATAACGTTATTCTTTTGTGGAATGGTGCTTTCCTCGGGGATGGTGAGAACGAAGTACCATGGGGTCCCGACGGGACCTTCCTGCGAGATTTCGATGATCGGAGCTCGAGCCGATCGCCGATTACGGATCGCGTCGCTCGGCTTGGACCTCTTCGATGAAATCGGATGCGTCTTATTCTATTCATTCATTCTCCGATCTGTGTCGGGGAATAAGTTCATTATGTGACCGCGGGAACCGAGATGGAGCTCATCCTGAGCGATCGCCTATGTCTGTATGCTCACGGGGGAATGTGATCTCAAATGGAAGCTCCACTATTCAATTATCAGATTCGACTCATTCCTCGATCTTGGGCCTTTCGAAGCACCGTAGACCTCCTCATATGGGAAAACATGATTCAAAGACTGTGGAAGGCAGAACCTCTCGGGGATGTCGCCGCAGTCGTACGGAAAGTGCCGGTCCGGTCGCCGCGCCGGTCGTGCAGGTGTTCGCTCCGCATCACGAATATGCTCGAGGATCAGGAGCACGCAGTGGATGATTCCCAACTCGTTACCGTGAGAGGCTCACCATTAAGTATTTTAATCGCCTAGCTCGGGTGAAAAACGCGGAAAAATCATGCGCGGAGTAGAGACGCGAATCGGGAGCGGCAGCTGGAGTAGCTCCGTTGCGGTCCCGTGTGTCATATACTGTCTGTATTCCTCTCTCGTCCGCCATACGCGAGGGCCCCGGAGGGCCCGGGCCCTCTCTCGTTCCTTCGCTGAGCTCCGGATAACATGGCGGAGGTCTGCTGCTGTTTCCTTGGAAAGGGTGCGGCGTTGCCTTGAACGAGTGGCCTTGCGATTTGCCAGCTGACGGCAGGGAAGCGGACAGAAATCGTTCACTGCCGAATCGTTCGGCAGCCCGAGTCCCTGAGAAAATAATGTGCGCTCGCCAAAGGAGGCAAACCAAGCCTCCGAGAGACCGGTGTGACCCTTCTGGCTGAGAGGTCGTGCGACCAGAACTTGCGCAAGTTCTCGTGCGCAACGCATTTGCTGTGCGGTGGCGAAGAAGGGTTCTCGACTTGGTTTTTTGGCTCGACTCCACGGGGAAATAGCGGCCGGTCGATCGGTTGCTCGGTGGATTCCTCCCTGATCCGTGGAAGGCAGACAAGAAAGCAAGCCAGTACGATCCGGACAAGGCGGACTACCTTGAAAAGCTAACTCTCCTTCGATACTCCTCTACCGCTTGTCTCCCGCGCTTCGAAGTGGCGCATTGCGCGTACCCTATCGCGAAAGAATGACTTCGAAGAAGAGAAACAGCGCTAATCTCGACAAGTGAGTCTCCCTGATTTCGGATAGAGGCAACCACCGATGGAGAATTTACGTGATGGAGAATCCTGTTGGAGGAACGAAGAGGCGGCGTGCTCGTGACTGGAGCGGCCGGTCGCTCGGTCGCCCAGCGTTCGTTTGTTGGGCTCCTTCCGCTGCGATCTATGCGCTTGGTGGGGTGTCGTGGAGAGGGCCCGGCTCACCCGGCTGGGACTCTGGGTAAATGAAGTCCTTCCTTCCTCCTTCCGAGGATGGGTGGGGAGAGTTCCCAGTCAGTGAGCCAGCCAGCCAGCCAGCCTGCCGAGCAGCCCCATCCGAGCAGTTCGGCTGCCACCGCTCGCAGCAAGTTCGTGAGAGACTCGGAACGAATGAGCGGGAGACAGAGGCCCTAGGCCCTGATCGAGTTGCGTGGTCGGCGGCGGCCCATCGAAACAATGACGCTCACCCGTCAGTTTCGTGCAGTTTCTACGAATCCTACAGTGTCTCCGTACTACGAAGTGTAAGCTGAATGAGGAATCTTGCAGACTTCATTGCGACCGTGCTCTGTCGGAATCGGGCGGTCGACGGAAGGAGAACGCGTTATTTTCGCCGGAGATCTTCGTACGATTCTGTGACGAAACGATCGTTGAGCCGTCGCGACGCTGCTCTGACGGACCGATTCTTTCTTCCTCCTAGAAATGGTCACGCCGACGTCATCTCTGCTGCTTGCTAATCTTGATTACAGTCGCGCATAAGCGTCTTCTGCTTTCGTTGTTGATAGTGGTAAATGGTGGCGACGGCGACAGCAGCAGCTCTGGTGTTTATTTGCGTCAGTTCTGATCGCAGGCAGAAAAGGTTTTCTACCCACGGAAAGGGTGGGCCGTTAGTTCGTTGACCCTCGCTCAACAACAATCAGAGCCAGAAGAGGAGCGGAAAGGCACAGAAGCGGTTTCATAGTTAAGATACCGGCGGCCCTTTCCGCAGTACTCAGTACGTCGTTAGATGCGCGATTCTATTGAGGTTCCGGTAGAAATCGATCGGGTCTCGTCGGGCATCGGTCAGGGTTTCTCCGATCAGCTGATTCGAGTAGTTGTTTCGCGGACAAGATTCGAGGATGAGCGTCGCGTACCGCGGGGCTTCCGGGACGACATCCTCCGGTGCTCCTACGGTCTCGCCGTGGATATAGACGACTTCTACAGAATTCGTATTTCGTATTTGCATCTGGCCAACCTGCCGATTCTGCACGATTCCAAGAGACTAACGCCGATATTCTCTTTCGCAGTGAGGTTTCGGTTGCTTCGGCCAGAGCGTCGGTTCTCGTTTATAACGAGCAAAGTAAGAAATGGATACCTTCGGGGACGGCATCTGGATTGTCCAAGGTACACATTTACCAGCACACTCTGAACGGCACGTTCCGCATTGTGGGCCGCAAACTGGACGATCACGAGGTAGTCATAAACAGCGCCATCCTACGGGGCTTCAAATACAACCAAGCAACGCCTACCTTCCATCAATGGAGGGACCAAAGAACCATTTACGGACTCAACTTCAGCTCTAAGGATGACGCCGAGCATTTCGCTCATGCTATGACTTCTGCCCTCGAGCAGTTGTCCAATCCCAATGTCCAAGCACTCCCTCCTCAACCTCCAGCCGCAGCTCCTGCGGTCGCTCCGGCCGCCGCCGTCGCTGCCGCCGTCACAGCTCCAATATACCAAACACCGGTCGAAGTTCCACCTCAGACCCATCATCATGTGGCTCCGGTGACGAACGGAGCTCCTCCACCACCTCCTCCCCCCATGCCGATGGGTGCAGCACAGCACCAGAGGAATCTATCCAGCAATGGAAGTCCCTACAGCACAGTTGGAAACGTTCCTCCTGCTCCTCCAGCGGGTCCTCCTCCTGCTCCCCCGGCTCCACCTGCTCCCCCGATGGGCGCTCCGCCGGCACCCCCTCCGCCGGGACCGCCGATGACAGCTGGTGCGCCTCCTCCGCCCCCTCCTCCTCCTCCGCCCGGGGGACCTTCATCAGGAGACGGTGGCAACTCCCTCCTCGCCGCTCTTAGTAGCGTTAAACTCAAGAAGACCTCGCCCCCTGCCGAGAACGGTGGCAACCATCCCGACACCAGCCATTTGGTAAGCTCACCTTCGGCGGGAGCAAGAACAGAATTCACATGGTTCGGACAAGCACTCCACCTCTTGCACTTGGAAGCTCGGAGTACTAACGCCACGTCTGATGTTTCAGAGAAAACAGAGCTCAGGAAACCCTATGGCCAGTATGTTGGATGAAATGCAAGGCACTCTTGCGAAGAGGAGGGCCCAGGCGGAGAAGAAATCCGCTGCGACCGCCCTTTTCCAAGACGGGAAAGACAAGGACCAGACGGACCATTCAGCAAGCAATGGGCAATCTAACGCAAACTGTAAAACCTGGTCACCTGGGCAAAATGGAGTTGTAAAACGAAACGATCAAGGCGACACTAGTCCGAAGTCGCAGAGGAAGTTAGTAGACTATGGGATTCCCCGCCGGATTGGGCATTTTATTGGGCTTCGTGTCACTTTAGTTCTATCAGCCTGACGAGATCGGAACGATCGCTCATTTTTTTGCTTCTTCCCCCGTCTTTCTAGGCAAAGGATGGGCTCTCTTGGAGACATGGAGGGTATCAAAATGAATGGAGACAGTAACGGAACTGTCATCGATAACGAACAGATGGAAAGACTCAAAAACGAAATTCTCAACGACATGAAGAAGCACATGAACAAGATCAAGGACGACATAATCATCGGTAATACAAGAACTGAATTACTCTGCAAATCTGGAGACTCAATTTGAGCTTCATGGCTCTAATTTTTCCTGCCTTGATAGCGATACAGTCCCCCTCCTAACTCCACGAAAATTTTCAGCGATTCGACAAGAACTCAATCGACGATAGACATGGCAGTCTGCAGAAGTCGATATCGTGATGGTGCCGATTCACTGATAAGATTGTGTATGAACGCCTCAAGCTAACCGATTTTAGGCCAGGGAGATGATTGTCGATAAGTCGATCGGTGACGACGACGGTGTCGAACGGCGACGATGGAAGTATCTAGTCTATCACACTTCATTTCATCGAGACGTGGGGGAAGAAAAAGGACTCAATCCGCAACACTGTTGGTCACGATATCCATGAGGAGAGGGCGGAGGTAAAAACGAAGCAGGGTAGATTCCGACAACAGGGGAGAGAGCGGGTCCTACTGGCACCAAAGCATCATTATAGCATCATAATTTTCGAGAAGCTTGCCTCATTGAATTTCACTCAATTATAGACGGATTTTAAGACGAAGTTAGGCTATGTGAAACGCGTGGAATGCATGAATGATTGAGGAATGCATGAATTATATTCCGTGGTAGAAGCTGTAAGAACAAAAGACTGGGGGAAGACGAGTCTCCGGGAGCCAAAGGCGACATTTTTGTGTTCGGGCATGATATCATTATTGTCGAGTTTTTTACTACACATGATGCCACAGATGATGTTCATCTACGTGAGAAACATTTCGAGCGAGGTCATCCTTCGTGAAAATCAAGAGGCTAGGTGAACTCTGAGCGGGAACACTGAGGTCGATTTCAGTATTCGGAAGTTTCTTACCGGATCGATACGAACCCCAGAAGGCAGGCGGGTCGACGGATGAGCTGGTTCGAAACGCCTTAGTATTCGCAGGAATTTTCGTTGGGTGCCATAAGCCATTCCCCGGCGCTCGGCTAACCTATTGTCACTTCCCTGTGCTCTAAAGGGGGACACGGGACGGGAACGGTGTATTCCGGGGGAGAGGATGGGGTGGATGAATTCGCCTAAATTATGAAGTTGACGGACTGCGTCGGTCTTCCTTGAGGGACGGGTCCGGATCTTGATCTCCGCCATCACGCGTGTCGAGATTAGAGCTCAGTGTCCAAGAAAAATGCTGTCTCCATTAATTCCCTCGGGCCGTCTAATTTGTTCGATTAACTAGATTCTGGCCCTCCCGCCATCTCCTTCCCCGAAATCGAGCTCACTAAATGCCACGCAAGTAAGCCAGCCAGCAGATCTGCATGCTGAGGCTGCGAAAGCAGAAAGTATTCTATCTTGGAGAGTAGGTCAACAGGAACCGTCAGTGTCATCGATAGGAACGCGATAAGTGGGTGAAAGAGGAACGATGACTTCCGGGGAGAAGACTGTCGCGAAGATATCTAATAACAATCGCATTACTACTATTATTTATATATGGACGATGCTGATGATAACTTATTTTTGCATTGATTATTACTATCATTACCACAACAAAATGGAAACAAAGCAGAAAGGAAGAAGACGAGCCGCGTCGCCTCCCACGATCGTCAATAATTCACTTCGAACCACACCTACGGCGCCATAAACACAACCAATTACGGTTTGTCGAGGTGTACAGCTGAGAGAAGGCGCATGGTTGCTCCCAACGCCATCTGTATCAATCTGCCCCCGTCTCGCTCGTCTTCAATCGATACGACCTTCATTTCGATTAGTTCTAGTTCAACAGCTGATCCGAATGTGGTCATAAAGTCGGAAATGATCATACTGTCGATGGTGGTAAGAATAAACTCGAAGTGAACGTGACGGCGAAGTCTTTGACGGATATGATGAAGGAAATTAGAAGGTTTCCAAAATGGTACATGGGATGAGGAAACGCATCTTGACGATACTGCGAGGAGAAAAAATAATAATATACTTGGAAGGAGAAAATCAAACGCTATAGGTAGAACGCGCGTCTGTAAGAATACGACGGAATTCAAATTGTGGATGATGCCTCGAGAACCGATGATGGCTTCCGCCTGTTCGCTGCATGTCCAGGAAGAACAACCTCTGGACATGGAATTTGTGTAGAAATGAGCATCCGCTGTCTTTGGATCACATTCGCTGAGCATCGAGACGTAAAAAAAGTCTGTGACGCCTACGACGCAGGCGAAGTTCATCATCCATTAGGGACATCGATAATATTCCTATTCCTGAATAAAGAAACTTTTCACATCGTATCTTCCGGTCTTCCAATCCCGACTTTCCATCACACGGACCATCGTCGATCGATCAAATTCCAATTTATTCTTGGGGACTAAGCCAGATGGACAGAGAAATTTCAATAGGTACACTTGTATACAATTGAAATTGTGTACAATTTCAAGCCACTCAGGAGCGCGAGCTCGTTGAGGGCGATACTCGGAGGTAGACCACCTGATAACATCCTAGCATTGCCGCGTTGGATCGATTATAGACTTTTCGTCATCTGTTTTCTCGGGGAAGAAGACATCGCGCAAAGGGTCACTGTGGCGCACAGTGTAGGATAAGGTTGCTCTATCGTAGAAATCGGAACAAATCTCCAGGTTTGATTTCACGGTGTCCAGCAGGTGCCCTCTCTGACAACCTCCACCTGGAAAAAGCATGAATGTCAGAGACCGCGATGGTCGAATTTTTTTCATCTGTAACCGGGACGCGGAGGCGGATGGCAACCCGCTCGTGAAGACTGAAAACTCACCTGGGGGGTTCTCGAATGTGAGAGCAACAATATGAACATGGAGCTGATAATACGATGGCGGATAGTGGAAGTACATGAGGAGTTTGTCCTCGCCCAATCCGAATTTTTCCTCGATGAGCGTGATCGATTTTTCTCGGATATTTTCGAGGAGGGGGATATGTTCCCGCCGGAGATCTCGGATCGAATGCAGGGTCCGGTCATGAGCTATGACCAACGCGTGGAGATCTGCATTCGACTTCATGTCCCACTTCATGTCCTTGCAGAGCATGAATCCCAGCTGGGGGGCGGACGGAAGAACCATTCAAGCAACAAAATCGTGAGGGTATGATTCGTCATTTGTCGTTCCCAGGAAGCGACGTATCATGGGAAATTCGCTCTCAAGGAAAAGCGTTCTACCACTCTTAATCGGCTCACTTTCTCGTCCTTGTCCTCGAACAAAATATTTTCCTCCTCTTTCTTCCGGTCTAATACGTTGTAGACCCATTGGAGTGAGAAACTATTCTTCTCTAGGAAAGGTGCGACTTTCTCGCGGTAAATATCCGCCGTCTCTCTGACGTAGTGGAACTCCTGTCTACTGTATTTCTCGATGTGTTTCGGCGTTGCCGGGTATATAACCGTGGCTTTGATCTCTAGAAGAGCAAGAGATGCACAGCGATAAAAGTTGTGGAAGAGCTTCGAAAAACCTGCTCGCAGGGGGATTCTAGAACACATTGTGTCGATATTGAATCGCTCGGATTCTCGGAACTCACCATTGAGCTTTTTCTCGGGCTGGATTCTGTACCCGGAATAGATGTCGTTTCTGAAGGTTTCCGCATGGCTCCCAGCACCAGACTCAGTCAGAATTTCCGCACACTGCTGCTCCTCGAAAGGAACCTTCTCGAGTATCACCACTGCCGGATCATCGCCTTCGAACAGGCCCTCAATGTAGACGACCTGCTCCGCAGAAAAAATGCATTGAGGACCTCAGTCGAGCGTACAATATACTCTAGACAAAACTAGATATATGGATATATTTTCTGCACGACGAGCGCTCGAGTTGAGCTGCTCGTTTCCTCCATCGTGGCTCACTTTCGCATGAGCATCGTCATTCAGGATTCTCTTGAAGCGAAATTTCGTGAAGTCGCAGGGTACCGCTTCTCTGATCTCGTCAGACATCTTCTTCGGGATCCTGGAAGGAATCGCGGCTTCATTTATCGTATGATTCCATCGGGATTCGACCGTTACATCTCCGGCTTGAGATGGCGCCGTGAAAGCCCCGCGTCTCGCAGCAATCATCGGAAGGAGGATACCAGCGGCCAGCCCCCACGGGGCAGGAAAACTCCAATCATTCTCAAAGCTATCGATCGTTCTTGGAAGCTTGATCTTCGGAGAGCAATTCGGTTTCAATTCACTCCGCCGATCAATGCGTTCACAGGATCGTCTTCCGGAATACACTTGACCGGCATCGAGTTCACCGGGTCTGAGTACTTACTCGCGCGGGAAGATGGGAATGGTGAATGATTTCAGCGAATCACCACGAATGGATGAATGCATTTCAACTCTACGGTTATCATGAGCCCGCGTTGAGAAAGGGAATTCCTCCCGTCATAATTTGGCGCCCGGAAACGCCGGGGATCCAGTCAGAAGCTCGGCCGAACTATTCTGCGATTCGGGGGACGGACCCGGGAAATTCAGTAGGAATACCGCCGCGATGGGCAGAGTCTCGAGACTTTTCGAATGACTCTCCTCAGAGGCTGCTCTTACCGGACCTCTCCACGCGGCAGCCGACGACGACGGTCAGTTACAGAGAGTTGATTTTTACCACTCGTGCGAATGTAAACAGAATCTCCTCGGAGATAAGTCGGCGTTCATCTGACTCAGAAAACGGTGAGCTCCCCCCACCGCTGCCTGAATTGTGCCAGGAGTCGATCTCACGTGCGAGGCCATGGCCGACGCGGGCTTCAAGAACCGTCTGGGGAACTACAAGAACAAGGGCAAGGACAACGATGAGATGCGAAGACGTCGAAATGAGCAGACTGTCGAACTCCGCAAGAACAAGCGCGATCAGAATCTTCTCAAGAAGCGGAACGTTCCATCCGAGGGTAACGTCGTGCTGGACGAAGACGATGAAGCCGCAACGAGTCAGGACAGACAGATGAGCCTCGAAAAAATAGTGGAAGGTGCGCGGAGTCCAGACCCAGCTGTTCAATTGGAGGCGGTCCAAGCCGCTCGAAAACTCCTCTCGTCCGACCGGAACCCCCCCATCGACGATCTGATCCTGACCGGAGTGCTCCCAGTGTTCGTGGAGTGTCTCCGCCGACACGACCAACCTGGCTTGCAGTTCGAAGCCGCCTGGGCCCTGACGAATATCGCATCGGGGACGTCGAAACAAACGATCGCCGTGGTCCAGGCCGGAGCCGTTCCGTTGTTTCTCGAGCTACTGCAGTCGCCTCAACAGAATGTCTGCGAGCAATCGGTCTGGGCGCTGGGCAATATTATAGGCGACGGAGCCCAGCTACGCGACTACGTCATCGAGTTGGGTGTGGTGAAGCCTCTGCTGTCGTTCGTGACGCCCGACGTCCCGTTAGCGTTCCTCCGTAACGTCACATGGGTTCTTGTGAACTTGTGTCGCAACAAAGAACCTCCTCCGCCAATGCACACTGTGATAGAAGTTCTACCTATTCTGGGTCAGCTTGTTTGTCACTCGGATAATTCGATCCTCGTAGATAGTGTCTGGGCGATTTCGTACATTACGGACGCCGGACATGAGCAGATCCAACTCGTCATAGACGCCGGGATTGTTCCTAATCTTGTGCCTCTTTTGTCGCACAAAGAGTTCAAGGTTCAGACCGCAGCCCTGCGAGCTATTGGGAATATCGCCGCCGGAACCGACGAACAGACTCAGATCGTATTGAACCACGGTGCGCTGAACCACTTCTTCGGCTTGCTGAACCACCCCAAAGAGAAAATCACGAAAGAAGCCGTCTGGTTCCTGTCGAATATCACCGCCGGAAACCACCAACAAATTCAAGCTGTGCTCGAAGCGAACCTCGTGCCTCTACTCATACACCATCTGGAAAACGGCGATTTCCAAACTCAGAAAGAAGCCGCCTGGGCCGTATCGAACATCACCATCTCCGGAACCAAGGAACAGATGGAGTACTTAATTCAACAGGGCGTCGTGCCGCCAATTTGCTCGATGCTGGACGTTCGGGATTCGCAGGTGGTGCACGTTTGCCTCGACGCCCTCAATAATCTGCTCAAGCTCTCGTCGATGTCTGAACCGTCAACTTTCGTTGGCACCGTTGCACAACAGATCGAGGAGTGTGGGGGCCTGGACCGCATCGAAGCTGCACAGAACTCGGAAAACGAGGAAGTTTACAATCTAGCCTACGAAATCATAGAACATCATTTCTCCGACGCCACCGACGAAGACCCCCACCTGCTGCCCGGTAGCGAAGGCCAAGAGTTCCAATTTGATTCGAGCAATCAGATTGCATCCCCAGAATTCAAATTCTAGACAAATGCCACGAAGGAGGTGAACATCGCCGTCGCTCGTTGACGGGGTTCAGGGCTGAAAACCTTCTCCGCCCTTCGGGTTGGAGATCCCGCTTTTTTTAGAGGTAATTTAACTCGACCGTCGAGGATCAGAGCGAGGATTTCCCTGTTGAGCCGCGGAGCGCCTATCGTACTCGAGCGGATGAGTACCCGATAAATTGTTTGTTTTTTTGGGATTTCGACGGAACATCGCGAACTCTCTGCAATGTACAGAGAGAAGACATGATGAGTAATACATATGATGACGAGATCGTCACTGAGGGAATGTTCACAATTGAGGAAATCGCTGGAATACAATGACAGCTCTGGAACTATTCGTAATACATACGATTCCAAGCACTCAATCATGCTCAAAGCCCAGTGAGTGCAGCCAAGTTGTGGTGACTGTGTACAAAAGAAGAAATGGACTAGGAGAGTGGACGAGTCTCTCCGAAACGTCCGTCTGAAATCCTGGCAGTTGGCGTTCCGTGAACGGAGGTGTTTTTTTTGTGATTTATACTGATCGCAATCTGTTGGCATGCGTTGTTGTAGAATAAAGGAGCTCGCTCACGAGGAAAAATCATTATGTTTTTTTATCACGCTCCGATATTATATTACAATCACCGTCGGGTGATGGCGATCCCTTTGGACTCGGTTCGCGGGACCTCCGCGATCGGAGCTCCTCCCGGATGACTCGAGCTCTCTGAAGGAGCTCCTCTTTACCAAGCGTGAAGTCGCTCTCCAGCCATATTTCACGCAGTGAACCAACGACCTCGCCGAGCTGGAAAATTCATCAGGGAAAAATTCTCAGAACCCGCGCAGAAGAGGGTTTAATCTGGATTCACCATCCCAACGCTCTCAGTCTGAAATCGGAAAGCGGAATTGACCTGTGGACCCTTGCGGAAACCGAAAAGCTGAAGATCGAATCCACTGACGGGACATTTCGGTGGATCCCAAGCTTCCATTTTTTGGAGAACGTCGCCTTCCCCCTCGTATTTCAAGAGCTCTTTGATCCATCTCAGCCTATCCTTTGGCGCGCCCACTGAAATATGCACATGATGATGAGCTGATGAAGTTCAAAGCAGAGTGGTTCTCGAGATTCTTCTTCGACAAATCGGAAATGATTCGACCCTCACATTTGAAATCGTTCCTGTACAGGTAAGCTTGACTCGTCCTCAACTTTTCTTCATCGCTCAGATTCGAGAGAGCGTTCCTGTACCGATTGATGTATAAGAGGAGATGCTTTTCAAAGTTAGAGAGCTTCAGCCTGGCGTGCAATTGCATGATCTATGAATTCATAATCGGCCCGTTATTAATTTATGCAGACGTAAAACTTCTCTCGGAAAGGAGCGAGGAAAGACGATCTCCACGGGAAAGAATGGAGCACCTATCGGATTAACGAGGTTGAAACTCACCTCATCCTCCGTTCGTAACAAAGCCGCGAGCTTCGTGGGGGCGAGTGCTTCTAAATCCTGGCAACGTTTACAGACTCTTGAGAATTCGTCGAGATTCGGATTCCGTGGGAAACCAAGATATTGCAACACCCCCAACTCCGCCATGAGGCGAATCATGCTATGGTGGAAGCGCCCGTCCACAATTTTCTGCAGCTCTGTGTAGAGTCTCTCGCCAGAAACTGAAGCGAGTCCATCCGTATTCAAACGAATCGCCTCTAGCGTCGAAGCATCGTGAGCGTTCTCGTCCACGGCCAGTCGTCCGTAAAAACTGTAGAAGATGGAGCATTCGAAATTACTGAGAATCATCCCGAGAATGCGAGTCAGCGCAAAGCGACCCTAGTCCAAAACTGCTTACCGAAAATAGCGGAGTATCCTGAGATAATCCTCTTGGATCCTCCTTGCGGCGTCGCCGACGAACAGAACCTTTCTCTGGGCAAGATGCTCGATACCTTTGAAGTAGTCGAACACGGTTCCATCGAAGGACAGGAACATTGCATTCACGGTGAGATCTCGACGATTGGCATCCATCTGCCAATCAGTAGTGAACTCGACCTGCGGAGAATCGAATCGAAATTGCGTCACGGTGGAGATGGAGTCCGGGGCTCGATCATTTGCGCGGCGAACTTCTAGCTCCAGCAGTGAGCCATATTCGATTTCGCGTCAGATATATGTACGTAGCATATAACGTGTATGTACATGGAATTCACCTCAGCGTGCCGACCGTCGGTGACCGTGTCGACTCGTAGAGTGGTTATCTCGAAGTTTTCCTTATCGTTGACGCGGGCTGTGATAGTCCCGTGTCTCTCACCGCTTGCGTTAATCATCCGGATGCCTTCAGACTCGAATAATTCTTTCATTTGCGTCGGCGTTGCGGTCGAAGCGAAGTCGATGTCGTGCGGCGTGATGCCCATGAGAAGGTCTCGGACGGCTCCTCCGGCGATTCTGAGTTGGTATCTGTAGGAACGAGTGATCTCAAATTAAGACAGCGGTTATTTAGAACTTCTCTATCATCCAACTCGACTATGCGCCTCACTCATCCAGTCCCTCACCCGTTTTTCTTGAAGAGCTCTTCGACAACCTTCATCTCTGGTGAGAGAATACGCCGGAATTGATCGTTCTCCAACTTCATCGTTTCTAGCTTTCCGAGTTTCACTCGCTTACTTCGCAATCTCCGTCCAGCCCTGAGGACATCCGAGTAATGCCTCACTCGCAGAAATGCTATTCTGTCGGTGATGAACCGCAGGCCTCTCCTCAGGAACATGAGTTCACCTCGATGGAGTCGATTGAAAGGGAACCCGCACACGCTTGTTCGAATTCTGCAGATAATTCTAAAGCTGAGCGTACACAGAGCGTACGAAAAACCTGCTCAACTAAGAGCTTTCGAGGGCTTCCATGCATGGCCTCACTCCCTCAGCTTGAATTCACGGCATGGCCAAGTGAACGTGTCACGGATAACGCACGCGGCGTGTTTTCGAACAGTGTTGTTGGCGCACCGGCCATTCGGAGAGAGGTGGCGCAGTCGAGAGGGAAACGGCCGCTGCGGCGGCCCGGAATGACGGCCTATAGACCGAACAAAATGGCGGAAAGCGCGGTCGCGGACCCGAGTGTCGCGATTTTCCGATCCCACGTCTGAAAAGGGAGCCCAATGGCGCTCCAGCGCAAGACGGAAGCCGACTCCTGTCACTGTTTGAGTATTCGTCTCCAGGCCGAGGAATTTCAGCCCTCCACATCTCGGAAGCTGAAGCGGAAGGAGACAATCGGCACACTGAGCGCCGAGCTCGAAACGAAAGACGCGAATAGCCAAATGACACAAGGATGCGGAGCCTCAGTAGATCAGTCATTTTAGCCCTTAGTCGTCCTTCCGAGATTCCGGGAAATAATGGATAATGGGTTACCATCTGTTCCGATGAACGATTGGAACGAGCCGTAGCCTTATCCGACGGGGAGAACAGCACGCGGTGGCTGTACAGCGCTTCCGAAGAACGACTTCGGACCCGATATACGGACCCCAAACGGAAAAGGTTCCCATCGGGAGCCCACTTCCGGCCTCGGAACGAGAAAGAGTACGATTCCTGGCGCTCATCTCTGTTTCATTCTCAAGCCTCCCAACTCGCTCATACGGGTGAGAGACGATCCGGAGTGAAGCCTGCGATGCGCGAGAGCCGTGCGTATGTCTACTGAGTCTGAGGATTTATGAGAAGAAGCTCGTTCCTCTTGGATCCCGGAATCGTAGAGGTTCCTTGACATGGAGCTCTTACGAGCTTGTGGGGCTTACGAGTTTATGGTATCAACGGAGAGTCCGCGTGCTGTTCTCCCCGTCGGATAATCATAGTTATCTGTCATCCTCCGTCGATTCGCCCGCTAGAGATTTACACGTACCGATTCTCCCGCTAGAGATTTCTTTTGCCTGGAGGCGTTTTTCGGTCAAAAGCCCACGCCTAAAACCTAATTTGACAAGACAACGATGCCATACTTCACAAGAGGCAGGAAAGCCGATGTTATCCGCAAGTATAACGAGAAACTCGCCACAGCAGCGGAGGATTTTCTCGCGCTGTGGGAGAAGGACGACTGCCCGAGGAAAAGTGTCAGAGACTTCACGGTCACCCGGCGCCTCGCGTCGGGTGCTTTCGGCGTAGTGTACGGGGCAGAACATGGGGGAATAGCATATGCCATGAAAGTCCAGCCGAAATTCGATTCTTTCGAAATACCAAAGAAGGAGAAGAGAATGCAGTGGGCTCTGAAAAATATGTTCGTCGTCGAACTGTTCTATTGCTATGTGAGCCACACGGACGTATTTCTCTTCATGGATCTCGCACCCTACGGTAATCTCAACGCCATGGAGCCGTTTCCCCTCTCTGATGCTAAAACCAAATTGATGCTCAGCCAAGTGGTGAGGGGACTTGAGTATATCCACAAATGTGGCATTATCTACCGGGACCTAAAACCAGACAATGTGCTGATTTTCGAAAAAGGACTTCTGAAAATAAGCGATTTCGGACTCTCTGTCTTCAAGGGCAGCTGCCCGAGGGATCACCTCGGAACTCCGCAATACATGGCGCCCGAGATGTTTTTGCGTAAGCAATATGATAATGCAGTTGACTGGTGGGCTTTCGGCATAATGATGTACGAGCTCCTGACCGAATCGCGTGCCACTCCTTTCCACCCTCCGTACACATCCGCAGCCGATTTTGCCAGGTGCACGACAGACGCACCGCCCGCGGGTCTGGACGATCCTCGTTATACACCGGCGGCGAAATCCATGATGCTACAATTCCTTGTCAAGGATCCTAAGCAAAGACTGGGCTCGGGTGGTTGTGAGGCGGTCATGGAGCATGCTTGGTTTTCCGACATAAATTTCGACACCTTGATCGTCGAAGAGGAATTCCCCCATATCGAGCTCCCCCCAGAAAGAGAAGCCGTCGAGGGCGATTTCTCCAATTTCAACATGGAGCGTCCAAATGAAGACCCGGAATGGCAAGCTTTCTGAGGAGCTGTATTCGGTCGGGCCCGAGTGAACGAATAAAATCGACGGTTAAAATTGATCTCGGCTTGACCGAGAAGAATTCGAGGTCTCCCTCGGAGCCCCCTCTTCCTACCAGACCCACATGATAAAGAGAAAGTTTCTTTAGACATCAGAGCGCGAGTAGGGATCGCAGGCAGTGACACGAAGTCCTACTCTCTCGCGGTTCCTCGCGTCGTTATCTCTCCTTGATTTGAGAGTCCCTCACGCTTCTGATTGCGTCCCTCTGCCTGCCGCCGAGACCTAACGCTCGCGTGTGGCTCGATCCGAAATGAAACCCGGGTGGGGAAATCATCGATGCCAAGATTGTGGATCCTAGAAGCGATGAGTTCATACCGCGTAGGCCCGAGGTCGAAACTCGGAATGGACAAGCAGCGACGAGTCTATGCCTCGGCTGTCGCGACGAGCATGACAGCGCCAGCGTCATCTTCGTCGACCTACGGCTCGGAAGGAGACGCGACAGCGGATCCACTAGGAATGAGATTCTCCCGCTTGGCGCTCGTTCCCTTCAGAGAAGATTTGTTCGGACAACGTGACTGGGTATCGTTGGAAATGGCGTGTCTCCCTCCGCGCGACCGAGTGCAAGAATTAACGGTCCTCTAGCAGGAAGAGATTCACTGAAGCATCCCGCACGTACTAAGAGGACCCATCAGGCGGCTGAGCGTCGTGAATTCTCCTGACTCATTCTCGTGCATCAAGGGGAAGAAACTATCTTGGAGAGCGGGAGTCTGCGAAATCCGAAGCAGCTCTATCATATGTGTATTCCGTTCGATTCGACCAGCACAGGCTCTCGAATGGTGGGGGAGAAGAAGAAACGGAGAAAGACGGTAGTGCCGGTGACCCATGCACAGTATGTGTGGCAGCCCTTACTGATTTCGGGTGAGGGCGGTGATAAGGCCGCAATCTCTGTAAGAGATTTCACCCTTCATGGTTTTCAGAAGGTCTCTCCTCATCATTCCTCTGTCTATGTAATCGCAATCGGCTATAGCGTGAGAAAGCATGTCATTAATTTATCGGGAGGACGAGAAATGCTGTTGGATCCCGTTCGCGAAAGCTGCCCCAGGAGTGGAAGAGTCAACCTCTAAGGGGGAAAAACGAGCTCCCCGTCAAGAGCTTCCGCGTACTGGTTTCCCAGTCTGTTTCTCGTCTGTGAGTGCCCAGCGGGGGTTTTCATAATGCGCTAGCGAGGAATAAAACTTCCCCGGAGCTCCGAGAACAACCCGGGTAAATGCCGTGATTGAGAAAAGACTAAATCGCTTATTTTTACTTGAGGGAATTTTTTCGGTAAAAATATGCAGGGAGGGATTGGCTCGGTGCTCACATGCTTCCGAATGTGAACAATGTTCCGTTCAATGGGAGGAGGGAACTGATCCTCTTCGTAAAACCGTGGGAGATGTTCATCAGATTTTCCTGTCCTGGATGCGATCCCACGTAGAGACAAAGGCAGAAAATCACGAAAACGCACGTGGCTATGATGAAGGTACGAAACCTGGAAAGGTAAGCGGGTAACTGAGAGCCTATCCAAGAGTATGCGCAAAGCCCCGGCCGCTTCTGGAATGGCATGACGGGGTCGTCTGGGCTCAGGGCCGAAGCCGGGCTTTGCTGACTCGAATCTCGTTGCCGTAACCGGACCCTGAGAAGGAATGTGTATATCTGCCTGACTCCCGCGCCATTCCCCTCTCGAGCGGCGACAGTTCACAAGACAAATCGCCAGAATGAAAGCGGCCTTAAACGGCCGGAGTCGAATGCACCTATGGCGCCCGAGTGTTCAGTGTGCTGCTGACTCGCCCGACAGTCGATGACTCGACGCAAGGCTTCGCTCGATCGGATACACCTTCTTCGATGGGGAATAGGCGGACGGGGTGCAAAGCTACGCAAAACATTAAGTGTCCTGCAGCGCGGTGCAGCCAATACGTGGCGAGTCGAGGCGATGAATCTTCATCTTTCGACGACGCTGATTCTGCAGATGTTTCCTTCTGATGAGGGATCGGGAACGGACGACTCGGAAGGAGGGCGATTCTCCGTGGAAAAATACCATCCCCAATATGCAACTTACCCTATATCCTTCAACAACTCCTCGGGAGGTCCTACGTCAATTCTCGTTTCGTCGGTGATCGGGTTGTGCAGCTCAACGTTGCGGAAGCTCCGGTCGTTGTAGAGACTCATTTCGAGAGTATTCTCGGCCCTCAGAAAATGGCAAAACGTGACTCCTTCGCCGTACCGAACCTGGATCAAGAGTTCGCCGGATCCGTTCCTGCGAGAAGCACTGCGAGCCCGGCTGCTTTTCGGTGAGACGCACAATCGGTGTTGATGCTCGGAGCGATCGTCGAAGGAGTGAAGTTTTCTCTTCCTTTTTAAGTCTGATGCAGGAGACGAGTCACCCTCTCTCGATCGTCCACTCAGGTCAACGCGTCTTCTGCTCCAGGGTCCAGAGCTCGCATCGAGTGTTCTTCGTTGATTTCGAGGTAATCATCGAACTTATTCGAGAACTCGAATTGACCTCCTCTGTCTATCAGTACTGGTGACACGCGCGTCTCGTCCGAGATCGGACTCCGCCGCGCAATCTGGCTCCACCTCGATGGGCATTCTGCTCTTCAGCGTCGATGACCGATTTATTGATTATTTTTATCGTTCGTCGGGAGCTCGGAGGTGCGATCCCTGTAATCACGAGCCGGCGAGTGCTTCAGACTTTGCTCCGATACACCATTTCCCTCCTGGTGTCGGGAAATTCAAACGCTCCGTCGCCGGGTCCACGCTCACCCTCTCCATCGTTCCCGGAGCACTGATGAGCCCAGGACCAGAACATGACTTCCTCTGCGAAGCCCCCGCTTTTTGGGGAAGGAAGCTCCCGGGTCTGACGCGAGAATCAAGGATCAATGAAATCGGACTCGAAACACAAAACCAATGAGAGTTCTCTTCTCATCAGCATGATGATGACTCATCCACATCGCTCGAATCGCCATGCCGGCATGAGATCTCCAGAAGCGCTCAATGACTCCTCATATCTCATAGAGTCGCGTGAACGAGCTCATCCCGGCTCAACATCCAAGTCGCGAGGTGAGGCTCCAAAGCCTCCCGCCGATATCGGCACGGCGGAGCGCATTGATAGAGGAAATCTGGAAAAGTTGAGGAGGTAATAAGCTCATCGGAGACTTCCCGCCTAAGCGGCAGGTTTGCGGATCGCTGTCTGAAATGAGTTTGGCAGACTGTTATGCGCTCCCTCGGGAAACCGTTTCCAACCGAAAATGTGACGTCTTCTCGCAATTTTGACGTGAAACGTCTTCAAAATCACTAGGGCTTATTTCCACCTGAACTTCGTCTTCTCTAAACGAAATCTTGATTGGTTGATCTTTGTAATTTTACTGAATCGAGAGCCTTCAAAGTTGTGCTCCTATAGAGGACTGTCGCAACCCGCGAAAGTCACCGAATCGAAATGTTCCCTAGAGCCTGCTCCAGGAAATCGAGCTCTGACAGCCCCTCGGAGATGCCAGTCCCGTTGAGGTAGCCCGATCCATGTGGAATCGGGAGGAAACCGATTAGATAGAAAAAATTAGTCTCGTCGGACAGAACCGAATCATGTATATACTCTGATAATTCTTATGATATGAGGTCAAAACCAGAAGTTCGCGTGGGGCAAGTGGGAATACGTTTCACGTCCGTACTTACGGTAGTGTCTCCGACACTACTCGCCGGGGACTTTTTTGTCCCTTCATTTCGACGCATGATGCCCCAGTGAAAGAGAATCCGCACAGGAAGGGCTGTAATCAATAGATGGATCGAGGAGACGACTAAATGAGAGTTGCTGCCCGATTCTGGCTTCCGCTGCGGGTCGGAATTCGAAGTAGATGGATACCATGCTATCTATATCCAACGATACTCATTGTTCAAGCAGCTGCAGTCATAAATTAGCCTCGAAGAACGCGATTTTCAGATGATGGTAGTGGGGGGACTTCATAAGAAGTTCGGGTGTTGCATCAAAAATTCCGAGCGAAAGCCCCGCGAAAGATCCGTGGCCTTGAATAACGCGGTTTTCGCGGAAATACGCCCCTGTGGACATTCCGGCATGCCTTCATTCCGCCACCTTTATTTGCGATCTCAATGGGGGTGAGGATAATAGCGACAGTCTCGCCGTAGCTTGTGATGTATCGGCTAGAGATATTCTGAGACAAAGAGATCGGTCGAGAAACATTGTGTTAGAACAACACTACGTTCCCCGATCGAGGAGACTCCGAAGAGACTCGCTCAGAGCTCCAGCTGCAATAGAATTCATCTGAATGAGCACTCCTTCAGCTCCCTCTATGTCGGTTTGAACGATTGCGGGAGGGTACATACTCCTCGTACTCGGAGACGATCGATTGCAGTCGATCTGACGATTCCTCGACATTTTCATCGGGCACGAGACCCCCGAGGGCGAAATTTCCAGTATGCGGCTCACTTATCCTCTCGGAGTGAATCGCCTGCCGTGGTGCCGCGAGCTTCTCCTCGTTTTCGGTATTTTTGGGTGTAGCCCAATCAGATGGAAGCAAGATCGCTTCGCCGTATCCGGACTCGGTTGCCTGATTTGCAATCTCACCGCTCTTGTCGGACTCATCGTAAACCTAGTGGCCATCCACATATGGTGGAGAGATTCTTCTGCCTTCTCCCTTCGTTTCGACTTGGGAAGCTCAATAGATTTGGAACTGCAAGCTTTCCTTTATTTCCTGTGCGTCACGTTCAGCGTTGTCAATTCCGCATTCCTAATGATCCTCATTCATCAGAGGAGAAGATTGGCTACTGCTTACAATTTCCTGAACGAGCTCTGGATCTGGTGAGTGAGATCTCATTCTGATTAACGAAGAAGCTCCTCCTTAGTGTTTCTCTCGGCTTGTTCCCTCCGGACCATTATCGCTTCCCGTTGCAGCTCCGGTCGACCCCGTCAAAAACTCTCTACGATCTCGTTCTGTTTCGGGATACCGACTCTCGCTTTC